AAACCATGTGTATTAGACATAACAAAATGTATGCTTGATGAAAAATCTGCAAAGCATCTTTCTACTGTTCCGCTATCAAACGATACTGTTTCACGACGAATCCATGATCTGGCAAGCTACGTCAAACAAGAACTAGTTACACGTCTACAAAATACACGATTCGCTTTGCAAATGGACGAGTCGACTGATGTCGCTGGTTTGGCTATCCTGCTGGTTATTGTGAGATATCCATATAAAAGTTCTTTTGAAGAAGACATGCTTATGTGTTCATCGCTGCTTACAAACACTACCGGGGAAGAAATTTTTAATAAAATAAATATATTTTTTGAAGAACATAATCTCAGTTGGAACAATTGCATTGACATTTGTACAGATGGGGCCAAGGCGATGACAGGTAAAACAGCAGGAGCAGTGTCACGAATGAAAAATAAAGCGCCTAATTGTAGTTCCAGTCATTGTATTCTGCATAGACAAGCACTTGCGATGAAGCAAATGCCGTCTAATCTAAAATTAGTTATGGATGAAGCGGTAAAAATAATTAATTTTATCAAATCACGACCACTACAATCCCGATTGTTCTCATTATTGTGTGAAGATTATGGCAGCAAACATAAAACACTGCTGCTCCATACAGAAGTGCGATGGCTGTCTCGGGGAAAAACTTTAACAAGGCTATTTGAACTTAGAGCCGAGTTACAAATGTTTCTTTCAGCAGATACTTCTTTTAATTTGAAGGACCGTTTGTATGATAAAACTTGGTTGTTCCGATTGTCTTTTATGGCGGATATCTTTCAAAAACTTAACGAATTAAATTTATCATTGCAAGGTAAACAGACAACAGTGTTTCAGGCCTATAATAAAATAACTACTTTTAAAAGAAAATTAGATTTTTGGATCATTTGCATTGGTAAGAAAGAAATAGAAAGTTTTACGTTACTCACTGAGTTTGTTAGCGAAAACGACTCAGAAATGTTTGAAGATAATGTGTTTGAAGAATTGGTCCAATATCTCAGTTCGATGCGCGCATCTTTTGAAAAGTATTTTCCCGAAGAACACAATACAAAAATTAAAGTGAACTCCTGGATTCATAATCCTTTTTTACCCAACTTGGAAAAGCCTGAAAACATGTCAAATGAGATATATGAATCTCTTTTAGAAATGTCATCAGACACAAGTATGGAGTCATTGTTCAAAACGACGCCTCTTAATGATTTTTGGTGCAGAATCCAAGATGAATATGCAATGCTTGGCCAAATGGCTCTGGATATTCTTCTCCCGTTCCCAACTACATATTTGTGCGAAACAGGATTCTCTACCTACGCAGCCACGAAAACAAAATATCGCAATAGACTGGACGCCGAAGCTGATATGAGACTCCAACTTTCTTCCATCAAACCTGATATCAAGCAATTGATGAAAAATAAAAAACAGTTTCATACCTCCCACTAGTTAGATTTTTTCTTTTTTAATGTTTTCTATTATTGTCCTTACCAAGTGGTGAAGTAAATAATAATTAGTAACGGATACATTGTACTTTTATTATGCTGATTAATATAGAATACACTTATAAAAATAATTGTTTTATTGTAGGGTTCCATCAAGTATTTTGCTTCCCAAAAGGGTTCCGTCATTTAAAAAGTTTGAGAACCACTGATCTAATAAATTCAGGGTCGCAACGTATTCATTGGTTTGTAACAGAAAATTCAAGATGCCTCAATACGATTTTTAAATGATATCTGAGTATCGAAAAGTTGTTTGATAGAGAAGGTGCTACACTTAATTTGTCTGATATAAATTTTTTGCACATGTGGACAACTTATTTTATCATGTCCAACAATTTTCAGACATATTGCTATGATACACATCGGTAAAATTTGTTAACATTTTCAAAACGGTCTCAAAATTTAATGCGTTCACATTTCCGTCTGAAAATTGTTTTGTTCGCATCAAATAACCAAAATTTACTAATAAAAAAGATTTTCAGACGTATTGCTATGAGACATTTTTTTTTGTCTCATTTTTAATTGTTTTAAGTGATTTTACGGGTTTGCGCTACACCACTAACGTCTGAAAAATATGTTTCCGGTATCTCAGAACTATCATTCAACTACAGTCTGCAAATCAGACATATTGCTATGATGCAGTTCGGTAAAATTCTTTGACAATTTTGAAAATTCGGTCAGATCAAACGCTACGCGGAAAATGTCTGATATTGGTATTTTCGAGTTCAAGATAATCGTATCTATCGATTTGATGCGGTTTTGACCGTATTGCTATGAGACAAAAATTTTGGTCGTGGGCTCTCGTACTATAACCTAAACTACATATAAGGACCATTTTCAAATTCGTCGCAGGTTTTCGTGTCCCCTCAGATTCTATATTTATATTTTTTTTATTAATGATAATTGTTTGTTGTGAGTTATATAAATTAAAAACAACTTAAACAAAGAAAACATACAACTTTTTTTTCAACTTTTTTTAAGTAACAGAATGGTAATGTTTGGTAACATAGTTGTTTTCCATACAAAGTCATCGTATCCCATATAGTAATACAGTAACATCATTGACGAATAATTCGTTTGTCTCTTTTATTAATAAACTAAAATTAATTACATTAGTAAATACATTAATTTATAATTTACGTTTAATACTTTAAAACAATATATTGTGTAAAATTTTAATTCTTTAGATTTTTTAAAATTTTGTCCCGCGTTACGTAAGTATTCATGGCAGCACTCTGTTGCTATAGTAAATTCGACCTAAATAACATTGACCCGGTGTCAGAGACTTCTGGAGAAGGTGCGAAGGGGCGGAAGTTGAATGCAACGCCAGTCAGACAGCCGAGCGCGTGTGTTTAATCAGCAATCACTTTGTTACCGATACTTTTACGTAAGCAATCAGTATTTTTTATATGTTTTTACGTTATTTAAGTAGTATGAGGTGGGCATTTGTTTAAGATGTAGCAATTATAGCACTTTATCCTCTAGAATGTGATTAATTATTAAAGGAATATAAAATTTACCATTCTGTTATCAAACAACTCTGTTACTACTTTAACGTAACATAGTTGTAAGCTGAGTAACAGAGTAGTGTTTTGTTCAGTCTGTGCCCTCATTTGTATATCAATTCGAGTGATAATACATTTAAGCTACGAAAATATAAATCTTAATGGTACTAAATGTTTTGTTTCAGGTCTTTTTGTACTTCTGCCTGCTTTCTAGGATGGTTCTTACGTCTGCTGAAAAGCAGCGACGTTATAGGGGACGACGTAAAAATTATACTGAAAGAGAGGCGGCAAATAATAAAAAGACCTTGAAAGATGCCATGTAAAGAAACGTAACGTTAAAGATTTAACGAGCAGGGAACACAGAGCCATTAAAAAAAAAGTGGCGAGCTGCAAATGCCAAACGGAGAGACCGAGCCAAGGCTCTTCGTATACCTAGTAATGCACACTCCAGCATCTTCACCTGGAATTATGACACCACCATGTTTACGTACACAAAGTCCACAAAGCGAAAATCTAGTAATTCCACGAGTTTTGCCGTCTTTTGCCGTTTATCAACACCCCAAAGTCAGTGGATAAAACTGCAAAAAAACAATAGATTGGGACCGATTTATCTTAGGAGCATTTTGAAAATTTACTTACAATCGTCCCAGAGTCAAAAAAAAGTATACAAAGGCAAAAAAGTGTTCTACCAGTTTGATGCTCCGTAAGAAATATTTGAAAAGTAATGTTGATGTTGATCTCATTTGCATTATGATTAAAAATAAAACCCAAATTGTTATTTTTATGTAGTCAGAAACTAGTTTCTAAAAACCTATAAGTCAAAAATGTTGAGATCTCATGTTAGAATTTTTAAGATTAAAATAAGTATAGTACAAGTTTTTAGTCCAGGTGCTATAGAAAACGCCAACTGTTACTTTTACTGTCCCAAAGATGTATAGTCTAATATAACAATTATAAAAAAAAAACTATACCTTAAAATATTTAAAGTGGGCTCTGAAGCAGTATATAAGATTCATAGCTTTCATTGTAAAGTAATTAGATGTTAAAATAAAGACTGTAAGATTTCAGGCAATTTTTTTTATATTTACTTTATATTTATAAAGTTTGTTATTAAATAAAAAGTAACAGAGTTGCTTATGATTTTTTCCGTCTGGGGAAGGAACCTCCACCTTACAGAAGACCATAGTAAGATAAAACTACCTTTTGGTGGTGTTGTGTTTATGTCGCTGAGTAAGGTTCCAGGACTTCACGGGGTACGGGATTGGGTCAGTAGGCAAGCGCGCGAGTGATAATATAATTTATTATTAAAGTAGGTACAAACAGGTTGTTTTCATTATCATCGATCTATCTATAACAAAATGTCTTCTCTCCCTGATGGGGACTAGGCCATTTCTATGGATGGACGGAAAAGAGAGAAAGGGTCATCTATCCCGTGTCGTGGATTGATGGGTGCTATTGACTGCAAAGGCAGAGGACACGGCTTAGCGTGCTTTCTGATTAATTCGCGATAATAACCTATTAATCAGGTCAGTCTATTGCGATAGTTATTTAACTGCCACGATCGCAGGCCGGAGGCGCTTAGCACTATGGCATCGTGTTTCCCAATTTGTTTAATTCAGTTTGTTTTCTTTAACTATGCCTTGCAACGCCAAAGATTAGAATCTTTCTGCCACGCACGATATTAAAAAGCCTAGATTTAAAACCTCACACAAAAATCATGGTCGAAAACTTGCTTAAAGGTATGTAGTAAAATCACGTAAAGCTTAAAATCATGACATGACATTAATTGATATTTTAAAAGACAACATAAACAGAGGACGTATGAACTTCATTTAAACGCATACGTCAAGGAGTTACGACATTTTAGAATGCAAGCTCGTAATATTTTATGACTCTTTGCTGACGGCTAAAAAAATAAAGACTATCTAGTTGGTGTTATGGTCTAAATGCGCTGTATGCGTAAGGTAAGGTAATATTTCATAGGGAACAAAGAAGTAATAGAGTTGCATACTGTCCATGTGTATTAATAATATTTTGATGTCTAAATAAACATTTTGTGAGAATTATTCGATGAATGTTTCAATAAACCTAATTTACAATGACTTGTAGCTGAAGGTAATAAAACACGTATGAGACAGAGTAAGCCATAATCACGACACAGTTTTATAGGTGGCGTACTGACGTCACAAAGACGTATAGATTGGTTAGGCTTATCCGTTTTCCACAGAAATGCCATCCATACTTTAAATCCGATTTCCCAACCATTGGCTTAGAGAGGGTCATCTTAAAATGTGATAAATAAAAAATACTATTAATAGTTTGTATATTATTTAATTCAATATTCTTACAAAACTATGGTTGAGAAAAAATTAAGATCATAGTCATCATTATTACCGATATCGTTCGGCACAGACATTTACGAGTATGTCGTTCTAAAGGGTAAATATAAAACGATATCATAATTATTATATAACTATGTAAGTTTTCATATTCATTCATATTGAACGAGGCATTCATTATGGTAAGGTGTTTTATAAACGTTCGTGCAATGATGACTCACGCATCACATTTTGTCGACAGTTCAGTAGGCCTTTTCGCTAACTGCTTTTAACAAATGGAAGTAATAATCACCAAGCTATCTAGTAATCCACTTCTGCATTATTTTAAAATTTTTACTAAGATACTCATTTTAAAAAGCATCGATGGATATGCAACTTTTTCTTTAGTTAAACACTGTAAATATAAAAAAAAAAGTGAATAGGCCGGCAGTAAATTTGCGTAGGGACGTTTCTAATAATACTGTCTGTTGTTTAAGGCCTATACTTTACCAACAAATGTATTGAAATGTATGTACAAACAATTTTAATCGTGATTAATCTCTGGAATCTCTACTATAACGAAATTTGGGTCAGGCCATTGGACAGTTTTAGGCTTTTGCCACCTCATTAATGTATTAGGATGTGGCAAAGTTTCAGAGAATACTTCACGTAGATATTTGTAGGCATTTGGTGAGTGGGAATACATGTTCAATGAAAATTTTCGAAGATCAGGTGGATATGTGCCAAATGGGACTTTTCTTTTTGCTGTTAATATATCTCGTATTATAGTAAATTCGTTCACAGTAGTATTCAGTGTTTTCTTCGAAGGTTTATGTACCCGAAGTTCCTTCTTTAAATCTGTTACCTTTCCTTTTAAGTTCAGGCATTTTTTCATTAGCCTCTTGTTTTTCTTCTTTAAATTAATAATCTGTCTATTTTTTAATTCGATAAATTTTTGACAAGTTTCCAGAGATTTTTTAAAAGCTGATGTTTTTGGCGACTCCACAGTTATGGTTACAACTGATGATGTCGGTGGTGGTGTCCGTCGATTATTTACGTCTGTTCGCATTTTGTTTTCATCTTCATTTTCGCTCTCAGTTTTCTGCAAGTGCAATGAATATAAAATAAGTAAAACACCGGATAAATGCGAGTCGGACTCGCGCACGAAGGGTTCCGTACCATTATCTATATAAAATTAGATACTGTATTAAAATATATGCCAAAAAAATCACGTGGAGCCTCCATGAAATATTGTTTTTTCATAGTTATATATTTTGATTGAATTATTTATTTTTTAAATGAAATTATAACTAAATATTCTGAGAACATATAAATAGATAATTTTTGACATACACATATAAATTTTTGACAAGCCGATGTTTTTGGAGAGTCGACCATTAAAGTTACTCCTGATGATGTTGGTGGTGGTGTCCTACGATCATTTACGTCTGTTCGTGTTTTATTATCATCTTCATTTTCTCTCTCAGTTTTCTGTAACAATGAATAAAAATTGAAGAAAAAAAATTGGCCAAGTGGGAGTCAAACTCGCGCACGAAGGGTTCCGTTCCATAATTTCTTTTAGACACTATAACATAATATCGAGCAACAAATTGGCAAAAAAATCACTTCTGTTGTATGACTTGTAGGAGAGTCCCCCTTATGTATTTTTTTTATTTTATTATTTTTGAAGTTTCCGTAATGAATATAGACCAAAAACGGCAAAAAGAAATTACATTTGTTGTATGTGAGCCCCCCCTTAAATAATTATTTTATTTTCTTAGTATCTTCTTATAGCGGCAACAAAAATACATCATCTGTGAAATTATCAACTGTCTACCTATCACATTTTATTTTTACTCTTTGGGTACGGAACTACTATCTAAATAGATACATTTATGACATACATAGATAAGTTTTTGACAGGCCGATGTTATTAGTGAGTCGATAGTTAAAGTTACTCCTGATGGTGTCGGTGGTGGCGTACTTAGATCATTGACGTCTGTTCGCATTTCCGTTTCATCTTCATTTTCTCTCTCAGTTTTCTGCAACAATGAATAGAAATAGTAAAAAAAAACGGAAAAATAAATATTAACCTGCTAATGCTAATAACAATTTAATAAATGCTAATTTACAATTCGCTAAGTACAGTAGCGAGTTTAGAAATCGGACAGTTAAGCAGAACAGTTAAGAACTTATCTCGCCAAGACCATAAGTTAACTCACTACTGTACCTAACGAAGTGTAAATCTGCAAAAAGTTGCTAATAAATAATACCACTTGAAAATTTTGTAATGCCTATACATTACAAAATTTTCACGTGGTATTATTATTTGGCAATCAGAAAAAATAACTTGTCGTATGGGCCATACGTACCACAACTCGTGGAAGAATATTTTTCTTTACTTTTCTTCGGCCACATTTTGTGAAATAAAAATCATTTTCCAAAAAATGATTTGAACAAACAACGCTTGAATTATTAGGTTTAAAAGATTCTTCTCCTCTCTCTGTGGCTATGATGGTCCGCCATTTTTCTCTTTCCGTTTCATTTATTGGGAATCTGAAAACACATACAATATAAGTAGTGTTAACTGTACAGTCACAATATAATGTCTACCAGTAGATGTCAAATTAGAAAACTTCTTTCGGGACGCAGCAACTTTTATTAAGAAGTTGTAATATATTTTGTTAAACTGGCAACAATTCCAATATTTATTTAATTTTAACTTAATTATTTATTTTATAGTTAATATAAAATGAAATATTATGTGAACATTTCAAGTGTCTGTTTGTTGTCGTTATTAATATAGAGCAAAAAAACGGCAAAATTACACGTAAGTTTTTTTTTGTTACAGCGGCAACAGAAATACACCATCTCTGAAAACACTCGTCTGGCTATCATGGTTCATGACAAACAACCTGGTAATCGACATACACACAGACGGACAGTGGTGTACTCTTTGGATACGAAACCCGAAAATGAGTGAGTGGGTTTTTTATTACAACAAGGAAATGTCGGCGCGATCATATAGTGACTCACTTTTTTTTACTTATATTACAAAACAAAACAACACAATAAAATAAAATACAAATAAGTGTTAAATCAATCAAATGGTGACAAAATTTATACTTAATAAAGAATAGCTACTCCATTTATTAAAACTTTGACTATGTTCCAATACACGTACACTCTTCAAACACTTAACGGAGAAAAAGAGACGACTGCATCTCACTCTTTAAGAACGCAAACATAGCAATTTAATAAAAGATTAAGTATGACATTTACAAGCATAGACTTAGTACTTACCGAAAATAAGACACCCCATCCTTTTTTTTGGTGGTTAATGTGTTGCTTTTGCAACTTTTCACGGCGCACTTTGGCATATTGAGTTCTCGACGTCTAGCACACGACTGAGCGAGACAGTGCTTACGCGGTGACTAAGCACCACACGGTTGGGACATATTTTGAGCGCTGGTAGTGCGTCCACGGTACAACGTCATTAATATCGCTGATTTTATTATACAAAGCAATGATAGCACTTCAGTAGTTCGTAAAAGAGAAACATGAAAAAGTTATGTTGTTTTCGTTTAGACTGTATTCATAGTTTAATTTTATACGTTTCTTTAAATATTACTCGCTCCGAATCGTCCATTTTGTTTATCGATCGGAATGAATAGCTCTTGACTCGCGGCGGCTGCGACCGAGCCGAGACAAGTTGTCTCTTTTTTCTACATACAATAAAATGAAACAGCGGCATTGGACCGCTGGCAAGTAGGTACTTGCGTGCGATACCATTATAGATAGAGATTTACTTGAATTTGATGCCGTAAAAAAATAACAGAGATGACGAAGAACCAAGACAACATAATGTCACATTTGTGCAGAATTAGTATATATAACAATTTTGTTCTATTTTGGTAATAATTGTATATTCACAGTGAGTTGTAAAATTACTACTTACGTAATAGTTCAATATTTATTTTTTATTTATAGGTTTGTTTTATCTTTCAAACTTTGAGAACTGAACAAATTCTAAATAAGTAATTTAAGGAAAAGAGTTGTAATGAATAGAATTATTTCGTATGTCTATATCTGAATAAAGATATAAACATAATTAATAACATAGCAAAATTTTGAGACAGAATTATAAGAAAATAAAAGAAAGCAAAAAAACCAACATCACGTGGTGTTCCCAGGCGGTCACCCATCCAAGTACTGACCGCGCCCGACGTTGCTTAACTTCGGTGATCGGACGAGAACCGGTGTATTCAACGTGGTATGGACGTTGGCAACAAGTGAAGCGAATTTTAAAACCACTATCATAATCTACCACGTGCTAGTCAACCTAACTCAAAATGATAAGCAAAATGACGCTTTATAAAATAATTATGTACAATTTGGATTTGCTAACCTTTTTCCCTTTCGTAAAACCTGTTTTTTTTTACTAAAGTATTTTTAGTAAAGCATTAAATTGCTAGATGTTTGTTTACAGGTAGTTAGGTATGTCTTTTTTGAGGTACAAATCAAATAAAAAATGGCATCAATAGTACCTTCATTATTGACGTTGGAGTTAAATGGAAAAACATAATATTGTTAATTTTAATAAGTTTCTGTTAAAGAAAACATTAGTAAATATCAATTGCATTATATCTAAATAATAGAAAAATATCAAAAAGCCAACATCACGTGGTGTTCCCAGGCGGTCACCCATCCAAGTACTGACCGCGCCCGACGTTGCTTAACTTCGGTGATCGGACGAGAACCGGTGTATTCAACGTGGTATGGACGTTGGCAACTAGTGAAGCGAATTTTAAAACCACTATCGACGACGACCTCCGTGGCCGAGTGGTTTGTACGCCGGGTTTCATGGCTGTCGCCGACTCGAGAGGTCCCGGGTTCGAATCCCGGTGGGGGCAGATGTTTGTGTGATGAATACGAGCATTTGTACTCCAGTCATGGATGTTTAATATGTATTTATATAAATATACTTATATATGTACAGTGTATGTATTCTATCCGTTACCCTAGCATCCCATAACACAAGCCTTACAGTGCTTACTTTGGGGCTAGGCTAATTGGTGTGAGTGTCGGAAATATTTATTTATTTATTTATCATAATCTACCACGTGCTAGTCAACCTTTTTCAAACTGATAAACAAAACGACGCTTTATAAAATACTAGCTCACCCAGCGAACTTCATACCGCCCTAAAAAGTTGTCCAGCGGACAAAATTGTGAATCTAAACCATTCTCAGATCCCCTTGAACACACACAAAAAATTTCATCAAAATCGGTCCAGTCGTTTAAGAGAAGTTCAGTGACATACACACTCACAGAAGAATTATATATATAAAGATTTAATACTAGTGGCCCGCCCTCGCTTCGCTTCGGTGTAGAGCTGTAGTGTAGACTATACTAATTGTTCTCAGGCTTGTATTATACACAATGGTATTCTTCTAATACCTAATCGACTAAATGTATTCGATGGCTTAAGATAAATTAAAAAGAAATGGTGGTCGACACAGGGTAGCGAATGAATAGAGCTTGTCGACCCTTGAAATTTCTATTCTACTCATCAAAAACTTTCGTTTGACATACACTTTCTTGATGTATTTGATAAATTACAATAACACCTAAAATAAAAACCGGCAGTGATGTCATAATTTTGCATGCGGGCAAAATTAAGAAACTTCAGGGGTGTCGACCTCTAGATCTATTGCTTTATTGTTCATACCCCAAAAATTATTCATGTATCTGATCCATATAACTAGTATACAGCCGGCTCTCCGACTAATAGGGACAGACAGGTCTAGTACCCATTGGACCCTCCTAATTGGACCTTACCTACAAAAAAGTGCCCGTTCGACCTCCTATCAAGAACATGGTGCCCATTGGACCCTCAAAGACGTACTTAACGACACAATGGGAGCTATTGGAGCTCTTAACTATTTGGCTAATTCTTTTGGAACGGTAAAGTACAGTCGTGTAGTAAAGTAACATTGTAAAAGACATAAAAACACAAAGGTTATAAATCTAAATAATTTAATCAACATATTTATAAAATTCAAAATACTAATCATCAGTAAAAAACCAATATAAATATTTATATAAAATATAATAATCAAATCACAGATTTTTTACTTTACTTTTAAAGCCAATAGAAATTATTTTTTATCGAATAGCTTAACTAAATTATAAATATGGTTTGTTATATCACACAGATTAAGCACAATTATTATATATTCTAAATATTGATAAAATAAATAAAAGCACAAATATTATAAATGTAAGTATTTAAAATCAACATATTTATAAAATTCGAAACATCAATCATCAGCAACAAACCATATAATATAATAATCAAATCACAGATTTTGTTATTTTACTTTTAAATAGAAATGTTTTTTTATCAGATATCTTGACGAAATTATACATACAGTTTTTATATCACTCAGATTAACTATTGAAGCATAATTATTATGTATTCTAAATATTCATAAAATAAAATACCAATGTAATATTTTCATATTCCATTTTATAAAAAAATGTTTTCTAATCTTATTTTTACAATTAACGAGAAATTGCTTATTATAAAAACATACTTTAACTAAGGGATATGGTTCAAAAGCGGTAGTGGGTTTCCGGCAGGGACGAAATATATATAATTTGAAAATTTGTATGAATACATACATGAATAGATACTTTGATTTTTTATTCATTACCGATTAATTTAAAATCGTGTTTAATAATTAAACAATTTTGTAAGTATGCTGGCCACCCTATCTTAGTAACGCCATATTTTTAGTGCGTGGTGGCTTATATCGTCAACTCAATCACTTTTTATCATAATTATTATCACTGCTTTTGTTTTACACATTGAACATAATATATTTGATGCTTGGCAAAAAAAAATAGATAAATAAACTTGCCATTTGCAAATCAATTATTTATTAATTATTATAGATTTATGTTATTTTGATATAAAAAACCGGAATAAAATAAAATTCTAGTTTTTTAAAACCGAAAGACCCACTACCAACCTCCATAAAAAATTTAACAGTCTTCTTTTGTAAAACATTATAAATTACCAAATTAAATATTTAAGACACATATGTGAGTAATTTTTCTAAGCAATGGCCTACGGTTGTAAGATTATTTACTAGCTGCAACATAGGTCATAAATCTGAACGAGACAGCAATATTTCTCTCTCTCCCACATATGAGATCGGCGCCATCCTTTTGTTCAAGCGCAGAGATTGCTTGGGCTTGGAATCTATGTATAACCTTCCTTTCATCAGGTGCTTAAGAGGAGTAGAACTGCCGATAAAAACACTCAATCTCCCTCAGAATTTCAGTCTTAGATCAAAAGATGATGTCTTTGCAAAATCCACCGTCAATTTGCTTAGATTGTCTAGATCTAAGCTGTTTTAGTGACCATGAAAGTTTAAAACAATATATTGTTTTAAGGAACTTTGAATCAATCGAACTTTGTTCGATTTGAAAGGTCTTGTGGATTTGGTGTTGCGCTGTAAGGGTATTCATTGGTCAGTGTACGATCGCCCTATTGAGTGAAACCTTTTTACATTAATGATCATTAATGTAATTAAATTTAAAATTAATGTTATTAATGATCATTCCTTTAAACCTAAGGCACAAACATATATAATGTCAAATGTAAAATAAAAAGATATTGAAATATTATCATTGTCACTGGCACCATTTTAACCCATAGAATAAAAATACATGTCAGTAGTGCAATATTTGGTTTTGGCTCCTTGTCAATACGAATAAAATAAAAATAAACATTATACAAATTAAATTTTGATTTGATTCACTTTTTATTTTCTAAATATCTTACTAAAAAATGTGTTAAAAATTAGCTTTTCTTAAAGGTTACTATCATCTGTCTGCGTCCAGTATATATAGAGCAATAAACAAAAAACATTTTTTTTTTATTTTTCCTGAAAACTTACATTTTTGTAGTTATCTTTTTATTCTCCGGGGACGGCGAAATATCGTTAATTCGAAGAAAATAGGTAACCTGATTTCTTTATAATTTGTTTAGGAGTACTTACTGTTTGGAGTAAGTACTTATACAGTATTTAGTTAGTGGCTTTATAATACCTACTATTAATTTTATTTTTGTCTGCAATTTTCTACATGACTGTACTGTGCTTAACAAAACTGTCAATAAGGTCCAACTGGCAGTAGGGTATAATCTTGAAGGTCCAATGGGCACCAAAAAAGAGGTCCAATGGGCACATTGAATATAAAATGTTTTAAGAAGGTCCAATGGACACCAAAAAAGAGGTCCAATGGGCACTTTTTGCTTTTGGGTCGAATCTTGAGGGTCCAATGGGTACTAGACCGACAGACAGTGGGAAGCGACTTTTCTTTATAGGTACTATGTAGTGACAATTCGGATTTGCTAACCTTTTTACCCTTTCATAAGAGCTGCTTTGTCATTAAAATATTTTTAGTAATACATTAAATTGCAAGATATTTGTTTGCAGGTAGGTAGGTATGTCTTCTCTGAGGTAAGAAATTAAGTAAAAAATGGCATAATACAATACATTATTGACGTTGGCGTTAATCGAAAAAAAAATATTGTTACTTTTGATTTTAATAAATTTATGTTATACAAAACACAAGTAAAAATGAATGGCATTATATCTTAATAATAAAAAAATATCAAAAAGCCAACATCACGTGGTGTTCCCAGGCGGTCACCCATCCAAGTACTGACCGCGCCCGACGTTGCTTAACTTCGGTGATCGGACGAGAACCGGTGTATTCAACGTGGTATGGACGTTGGCGGCAGTTTATCCATAATAAATTAATTCATTCAACTACATTAAATTACATGCATTGTTCACAAATTTTATTTTCTTTTAACTACATAGTAATGTTATTATTAAACATTACAACACTTTTGAACAGTATTATAAAAAATAACAATAAACCATATTTTTTTTAATTGTTACATTACAGACAATTGACAGATTAACAGAACTTTTTCAACAAAAAACATGCAAAATTGCAACCAACAAAATTAAGTCTTGGTCCCAGAAAGTACAGTATATCCTTTTAATTGTCTATCACTTTGTAGAATGTTCTTACAGAAAACAAAAAGTAATAAAGTTGGACAGAATATTTTTATACTCAACGAAATTAACAACTCTGCCCGATAGGTGGCGCTGCAGCCAGGTTTAAGGATTTTTTCAAAATACATATTATTATTTTCGATCTGTTAGTCTATTCTATAGCAATGTTATAAAGAGGTAGTGTGTGAGCTTGTAGGGGGTAATATCTGAATCTAATGAACCGATTTGTGAGTGTCAAAGGCTATATTATTACTAGCTGTCCCAGCGAACTTGGTAGAAGGGTGAAAAGGGTTGTATGTATTATTGTATAAAAAATAAAAACAAAAAATTTTGTCCAAAAAAAACCTTAACATTTAGGGGGATGAAAAAAAGATGTTGTCCGATTCTCAGACCTACTAAATATGCATGTAAAATTTCACGAAAATCGGTCGAGCCGTTTCGGAGTAGTTCGATTACACACACCGTGACACGAGAATTTTATATATTAGATTATTATTAAACCGAAAAATGGAAAGTCGCGGGCGACGCTAATATAACACAATTCGCTTACCATTGCAGCACTCCCACAGGATCACGGCCAGGGAATACACGTCGGACTTGGGGCACGCGTGAACGAATCCCTCTTCGTCGGGTTGGAACATTTCCGGCGCCTGCCATCGGTAATGCGGCGACTTGCTCACCGGCTCGTAGTCTATGGAGACCGCGTTGGCTTGCAAGTACGCTTCGGACGATCGGTTCGAGAGTAACGGCTCGTTTTCTATCGTGTTCGATTGGTGTGCATCTGTTTTGGAATGATAAACAGCTTATGGACTAAGAAAGCTTTAAAAAAACACCTATACTTTAAGACGTTACTTCGTACCCAATTTCAAGATTCTAAGTTCACGGGAAGTACCCTGTAGGTTTTGATTTCCGTGCGAGTTTCGAAAATTTGCCGCATAAACGGCTTTATCTTTTCACTGTCCAAACTTCTATATCATATCTTTACCAACCTTCAATATTGATATACTGCGGCTCTCATAAGTAAATCTCATACCTCTTGTCTAGTTGCGCAGTAGTTAAGAGGCAGGCGTTGGCATGTAGACAGATTGTCCAATTTGGCAGCAGCACGACTTATGACCATAAGCCTTTCGCTGTTCAAAACCGTGTATAATATATACCAACCTTCGATATTGACGTACTGCGGCTCTAGTGAATAATATCCCTTGTCCGGCCGCGCAGTAAATCGAGGCAAACTTCGGCACGTAGACAAATCCGCCAGTTTGGTAAGCATTTTATGTCCTTTTACTGCGAAAAACTTCGAAATAATATCTACCTGTATACTTCTACCATTACTACTAACCTTCTATATTGAAGTTCTGCGGGTCGGGTGAGTAGGTAAATCTCATAGCCCTTGTCTGGTCGCACAGTAGATTGAGGCAAGCGTTGGCAAGTGGACAGATCAGCCAGTTTGGTAACCATTTAGTCTCGTCACTGCCCAAACTTTGATATAATACCTTTACCAACCTTCAATATTGACATACTGCGGCTCTGGTGAGTAAATCTCATATCCCTTATCTGGCCGCGCAGTATGTCGAGGCAGGCGTTGGCACGTAGACAGATCGGCCAATTTCGCAGCATCACGACTCGTTATCATAATCCCTTCACTGCTTAGACCAGTGTGTATGTAACCTTGCATGTGCAGGAATACAAGCGCATTGGTGATGTCCAATGCGTATTGGACGGACGCTTGCACGGTTAGAATTCGACCCTAGGTTAAAAATACGTGCACATTAGAATACATTAAAAAATAAAATTGCTTAAATATTTAATAAGAAGCAAGAAGGTAAAAAGGAAATAATAGACGCATCATCTCCCTCAATGAATAAAAATAAGCGTTGTCTAGTTTTTTTTATGATTAGAAGCCTGCTACATTCCCACTCCACTCCCTTAGTGAAAATAAAAATTAAGCTTTGATCAGTTTTATTTTAGGTTTGTTCATAATATTAAAATTGCCAAATATTGTATAATGAACGGAGAAGAATGCTGTCTTCTTCATGCTTCATCCTAATTCCTATATTACTTTGGTAACTGTATAATAAAATATGTACGTAGTCATTACAGAATAACATTATTTGTTTGCAGGTTCTACGTCGTGCAGCGTATTGATAAGACACCTACGTTCTACTTCTCTCATACCTTATTTCCAAAGATGCTTGGGCAGAGAAATAGTCTTATTAGAATTTCAAATAAAAGTTCATAACAGAATTTAATAATTGTAAAGAAAATTTTTAGCAAAATAAAAATCAGCTCTGTCCAATCATCTGATAAGACTCGAAATTATGGACGGACGATTGCGAAGTCCGAGTCCTATCAGAAACCTGGACCAAGTAGATTTTTTTCTAGATAAAATTTTCTTTATATTTATAAAAGTAGCATTTAAATGAGTAAAATAAAAATATAACAAAATCTAATAAGAATAATTACAATATTAGCTTACCTTAACATGGAGAATTCCGTACAAAGAGTCGGTGCACCTCTCGCAAACGATGTTTACGCCGTCGTGAAGGTCAGGGTAAAGCCCCATCAAAATTATTATGTTGGGATGGCGACATTTCCTACAACAATGTATACTTTGTTAGTTATCTACAGTCTAGTTTCACTGCTGGACTGGAAGCGTATAAAAACATGTAACGCCATAAGTTGACGATGATATCTAGTAGTCCACTTTCCAATAAAGTCTTATCCCAAATAGTAATAGATTAGAAATTGATAAAATGTACTGTTCAGAAATAAATTATTATTAATCTTTAATTACCTATATTTCAGGCAATCGCCCTAGCACAGAGAATTGTAGTAAATAAAAAAAAGCAAAGTGGCAAGCACGCCCGAATTGTCATCATCCCTAAGGTTCCAGGCATCTAGGATGCACGAAACAATAAAGCTTAAGAAGGTTTTTTTCAATTAGATGTACGCGAATTCCTTTGCAAAAAAAATCTCGCATGAATATTTTATTCTTGTATTTAATTTCACCCCATCGGATTCTTATTATTGTGACAAAAAGTTGCCACTTCTCTTCTCCGAAGTTTTGTATACAAAATAACTTACAAGGGTACACCCAAACCCAACCATTGATAGCTATTTAATTTTGTTGTATTAGCATATCCGTCATTTTCAGTTATTTCACTTTTCTTTCACAATAGGTACACGATCTGTTGCAAAAAGTTTATAAATATAGGTTTTATGCTACTCAAATAGCGGCTGCTCAGAGGGGGGTCAAGCCGCGAAAATAATCGCTGAGAACTGAAAAAGTTATTTTACGATAAATGCCCATTTGTTACGAACCAGGTAAAAGAGAACATACAAACAACTAAGTGACTCAAAGGTGAAATCGCGCAATATTTGTGTTTCTTTATAGTAAAAAAAACAAGCAAGTATTATAACGTCATTGACCTTAGCAGATCATAAAGTAAATCGTTGTTTTATCGGTTGAAAACTCGTGTTTTATGAACCAGAAACGTGGAAGGTCTGTGACAATATCATATACGTAAAGTTTTTCAACATTTATTTCTGGATTCATTAAAACTTTTTATCATGGATGTGCACGCACTCTTGTCACATTTTTTATACAAGGCAAACCAAGTTACACCACACTCCCAATGTTAAGTGCAAGTGGAGTCCAGTTGCAAAGAAAAGCTAACTAGCAGTGCTATTCTGTAAGAACAAACTCACTTGACCGCAGAATCTGCCGGTGTGATTAGAAATTTATTTGAAATTCAAGTTAATAAATTTAACACCCCGCGGATTCCAAGGTGAAAAGTGAGTTTGTTCTACAAGATAGGACTGAAGAATCGACAAAGAGGTGTGTCGGCTAAAGGATGGGTACCAAAAAAAAACAAGTTGTAATATACCCTAAAAACAGTGCAAGTTGCAGTCGAAAGCATCAAACCGCGCTGCTCCTGCGTGCTAGACCCATTCGCTCTATTGTTTTTAAAGAGAAGGCCTATGTCCAGCAGAGGGGACATTATTAAGCTGATGATGATGATGACTGTGGTCCTCTGTAATATGGACATTAACTTCCTCCGACGGGCGCTGCATTTAGGAAAATCTGTTTATCTCCGTGCTCCGCTTCTTCCTGTCGTAGTCCGTGGAGAGCCCGGGCAGCCGCTTGATCTACACGAGCACCACGCCCCACTTGCCGTGGTTCGACACCTTGCTTCTGTCCGCGATCACTCGAATCAAGTTCACCTGAGTATGTTTATCTCCGTGCTCCGCTTCTTCCTGACGTGGTCCATGGTGAGTCCGGGCAGCCGCTTGATCTGCACGGGCACCACGCCCCACCTGCCATGGCTCCACACTTTGCTTCTGTCCGCGGTCACTTCGATGTTGCTCGCACTCGCTATCGGTAAGCCATGCGCGCTTGTGTCACTCTGCGAGATAATAACAGATATAAATATTTCTACCTCTGACGGCCGCATCAGATAAGTCAATTAAGTTTTAAGCTTTATTAAAGTTCATGCTGTCTCTTTATGTAAGAGAACAAACAATATAATGTTACAATCACAATACGTGACTGAATGAAGCTTTAACTTTATTTAACGATTCTGAATACGGCTGTAAGGGTCTCTTTACACAGCAGCTGCAATCACATGACCATTACGATGCGCGACGTCGCGCGATGCTCTTGTGGCGTGCCTTACTGCGTCCTAAAGCCATGTGCCGTGTAGTGCCGTGGCTAAGATGTTATGATGCTGTTTTATAAGCTTGTTAAGAAAAAAAGCAGTGGCTGTGAACTTATGTCAATCGGAAATAGTGGCACAATTCCAAACCTTACCCTTTATAAATGACTTTCTTTGTTTCTATCGATTCGCAAAGTCCAAACGTGTAGCAGGGAATTTAAACCGTGATTGTTTGTAAATTCAGTTAGTGGAGGAGTCATGACACAAGGATGTTTAAAGCGGCAGAAAAATATTTCGCTTTAGAGCGCCAAGTTCTAACTTTATCTTTAAAAGATAGATACTGGAAAATTTTCCTAAACATTGTAGGCTACAATCTGTCCTAATATAAGTGATTGTGAACAATAACGGTAGGAAATTACTACTTTTATTCAATTGTGTGTTGAGGTGTTGTGTGTGTAGCTATGCAATACAAGTAAATAACGTTACATTATCATACTGTATAACGAAACCACCGTTCAGAGGCCGAAGCGCACGAATTTTATTTCCACTCCGTAAACATATCCTAGTGCCCTTATCCTGTCGGACGTACTAGCTTTTCCCATACAAAATCTGACGTTGATGATACGATTATGGAGTTGTCATAATTTGTGCTTCAGCCTCAGTCATTACAAAAGCTCTTAAGAGTCCAAATACATGTCTTCCATTAACGTTTCTTTTATTTGAAAAGGGTGAGAAACAGGCTTTTGGCCCGCCTGATGGTAAGCGGCCACCATATCCTATAGACCCTTACGGTACAAAAAATATCACTCACGCCGTTGTCTAACATGACCCCATCCCCTACCTAATATTTCTTAAGCGCATTATGGAGCTTTACAAAATACACTTGGCGTCAAAAAACTTGCACCTTAGTCAATCTTTATATATATAATTCTTCTGTGAGTGTGTATGTCACTGAACTTCTCTTAAACGACTGGACCGATTTTGATGAAATTTTTTGTGTGTGTTCAAGGGGATCTGAGAATGGTTTAGATTCACAATTTTGTCCGCTGGACAACCCCTATTTTTTTAGGGCGGTACGAAGTTCGCTGGGTCAGCTAGTGATATTATATAATATATCATTGACCTTAGTGAAAATAACTTTCAAGCGTTATTAATCCACCAATATTGGTGTCATTTAAAAGCCCATTAAATTAACTTAAAAAAACATTTCATTTCATTTAAAAAAGGCTTGATACCAAAAAAGTGACAAAAAAAATCAATTTTGCTCCTCAAAGGGGCCACTAGTTGCGCTACCTTTAGTGGGTATAAAAGTGTTAGTACAGGTTCAATGGGGGTGGAAATCGGTTCTCTAATTTTGAGTTGAAAAGCAGCTCTAGGCAGCTCGCAGAACCGTGAGTGTTTCTACGCTTAGACGAAGACTGAGGGAGAAGATAGCTGCTCATAGAGCTGCTACGGGTATAAAACTGACCACAGAGCATCGGCGAGCACGCTTGCAGTTTGCACGCGACCACGTCAATTGGACCCTTGACCAATGGAGAGCTGGTCTCTTCTCAGACAAGACGAGAGTGTGCCTTTCTGCAACGATAGACGCAAAACAGTGTACAGAAGACAGGGGGAACGTTTCGCCCAAGCCTGCATCCAGGAGACGGTGGAATACGGGGGCGGTTCCTGTATGTTTTGGGACGACATGTCGGCCGACGGCAAAACCGGCCTTGTAAGCGTCTCCCGGACTGAAGGTGCTCGCGGGCAAAGGTCGCTGACTGCTTACCGGTACGTCACAGAAATCCTGCAAAAGCATGTGGCCCCCTTATGCCGGTTTTGTTGGCGAGGGGTTCACATTAATGCACGATAACGTTCGCGCTCACACTGCATTAATTGTGCGTCTACCTTCAAGAGGGTGGGATCTCTGTCATGCAGTGGCCAGCTGCTCCAGACCTGAACCCGATAGAGCACCACTGAAACGCAAGGTTCGGTCTCGTAATCCCACTCCCACGACTCTCCAAGAACTCGAAAAGGCCGTAATTACGGAATAGGCCAGTATCTCCTAAGAAGAGCTCCTAAAATTGATAAGATCCATGAGGGAGTGTATGGATGGCCGTCATCCGGGCAAGGGGTGGTAACACTAGGTTTAAGGTTAGTTTTAAGAATATTTATGTATTTTTTTGTGTAATTAATATGTTTTTAATTAAGACTCTTTATTGATTTGTAAACTTTATTGTTTTTTGCACTGATCGAATCCAAAATAATTGAATTGTTTTTTTAAGTTTATTTAATGGGCTTTCAAATGACATCAATTTTGATGTGGGCAAATGCGTGTGTTAAGGGTTATAATAACGCTTGAAGGTTTTTTCGCGGAGGTACAATTTTTTTGACGCCGAGTTGTTTCTATTGAATATACTTTTATTTCGATGCTGTCCCGTACCGAACATGGCCTTAGTGACTCTTCGTTATGTAAAAGTGAAAACGAGTGTTTGTATTGAAAATATTACAAACTAATACTGAATAATCTTCACGTAACATAATTTTATTATGAATGAAATGTATTGTCAACTTGATTCTTTGAACTCGGTCTTACGGCATCACGCAGAGATGTCAAATGAATTTCACGATTGTTCAAGTGACATGTTATGGTATTCTAGCTAGCGCAAAGGCAATGACAGATACAACTGAATTAAGAAAATAGAATATTACCTACTATGAAAATGAACGATAAGTCTTTTAAGTAGACATTAATGGACTACATTTCAAGCTGCAATCAATATTTGAAAGTAAAAAGAAATCATATAACCATGTAAAGCGTGTCAAGGTCAAAACATTATTTTTTATTAATAACGTAAAAATGATATTTATTACGGAGTTTAGAGATATAATAATACATGGTGTAAGTTGCGACACATCGTAATTTCAAAAATCTCCGAACTGATTTTTAATCATAAAGGATTCGGTACGGTTCCGGTCGTTTCGAAGAAACGTGCACTGGCTTCCATCACAAAAGCGTTACCATCTAGTGATATAACGGCGAGTGAGACAGAAGAAAGTTTCAAAATGTCGTAACAATAAATTAGCTACACAAAAACAGATCCTTTTATTAGACAACGTCATTCATCTGCTAAATAAAACAGTAAACTACCTACTTGATGAACTTCGTTTCATTGTGATGCAATGCAACATAGTGTCGGCACGAATTTATATAATTAATTTTATATGGTTCCGCACAATAAAAAGCCTCACATTCGCTATCAGTCCGCCCCTGTCTGTCATCGGGCTGTATCTTACAAAACCATAGCCAAAAGTTAATGTGTATTTATTGTCGAAATAATAGAAAATATTAAAAATAAAGAGGCAAAATAAAGGGGCCTGTACAAGAAATGTGTTTTTTCGTCAAATATTGCTCAACTTACTAGGGCTTTTGAATTTGGTAAACCTTCCGCCATGATACTGCTCAAGATTGGACTGCAACTAGAGTCCAGTGACGAATCCGCAGTTCCCGCAGAAAAAATAAATATAGGAGTTGTACTTACTTTAGTGTCTTCTGACTTGGATGTCGGTGACCGTGTTTGAAGCAGCTGTTCGTCAGCCCATTGGTCGAAGTTTTTCAATTCGCTCATCACCTCCCATAATTTTTCTTCACCACTATCGTTTTTGCCGAAGCCATTAGAGGAATTCTGACTAGATACTTTGACGTCGCTAATGTGTTTAGCGCCGTCCACTTCCTCTTCACTCCTCTGCCCTTCCAAGAAATTCTTCACGTCAAAAGGTAAAGAATTCTTTTTCATAAACTCGGGAGAAGCTGTTTGATCATCGTCTTTGAAGTCTATATGCCTTTGGGTTAGGAAATCGGAATCCGATTGCCTTTTATAATATCTGTGCCGATTTTGCCGTTTACATCGCGAAGGCTCGGAGTAGGTAGACGTTGCCAACATATTTCCAGGCATGAACACCTGATTTTGAAACAAAAACTGTATGTTGGGTGTGTAACCGCTGTCATACATTTTTTCATCGGACATAGTGCTCCTAGCGCGCCGTTGAGATTTCTTCTTATATTTCACGGCCGATTTCTTTTCATAATTAAAGGTGTTATCGTGGTCTGCAGCACAGTCAGTGCAGGACACCGGTAGAGAATGTCTTCCGCATTTTTTCTTCACTGGAGTTATTTGCAATTCTTTGCTCCCCGTTGATCGTCTTGCTTGAAACTCCGCGAGGTCTCTTTTGTACTCTTCAGTCCGTATGGTGCCTATTTGGTTGTGGTCTATCTGCGGCGAGTTCTTTACGCATTGTTCCTCTGGAGTCGGTGGCTCCGGACTAACACGACGAGTTGTCACTGTTACGCGTTCCCTAAAATGTAAAAATAACTATAATTACGCAGACGACAAGTAATGGTCACGGTGATTCAACTTCACTTTATGAAGAAAAAACCGCAACAGTGAATCAACTCCAAATCTGTGACTGATAATCTACACGTGTAAATGTCACAGATCAAATAAAACGTGATAGAAATTATTTTGGCGATATATTTTTAGAACAAGACGGTTTCTTAGTTCTTAGAATGTTGGATAGCTTTTTTGGTCAAAAAGGTCATACTATTATGCATTCATAAATATATATACAAAGCTGAAGTTATTATGTTGTGCTAATGGTATCCCAATCGTCGTCGTGCTTTTCTCTGAACATGAAGTAAAAACCTATACCTATTTTAATAAGACTAATTCGTAAGCCTTAGTCATTGCACTGGTTACCTGTTATTATAATTTACGGACACCTATTTGGGATCGTGTCCAAAATGGGGCGTCACGTTATTAAAGGACTTTAGAGTGACATTGAATTTGAAACAGCATGTAACCAAAAAAGCTAAAAGTTGCCTACCCTAGATAGATTTATGTAAAAAGATGCCAGCAATACATCTTTTTTGCATAAAATTCTATAGTAGGTATTAATAACCCTACTCACATTGGAGCATACCAATAAGATATACCACAATGATTCAAAGTAGTTCCTCCTGGAGCTTAAAGCTTTCGTTTAACAACATTGAACGCACTTCAAAGAAACTAGGTGATTTCAATGTTCACTGATGGAATACGAAAACAATTATTGAATCTAAAGATTATTCTTGTCACATTTCAAATAGGAAGAAAAAATAGACTAAAGCCTAAAGTAAAAGGCGATTATAATCGCGATACAAGAGACACGGTGCGATATCAGAGATTGATACACTTTTACCGATTATTACCTTAATTATTTTTTTTATTATGAATTGGCAAATGACTTTTCTCTCGACGTTAAGCGTATGGATAATGGTACATCTGATGCGAGAAATATTTGCCTCACCCGCACTTGGTCAACTTCCCAATCTGAAGCAATTCTCTAGACCGTGGAGCTCTGGCAACCTTTAGTCATTGCAGTAAAACATAGTAAAGTCAATGAAGCTTGTTCTCTTCAATTTTGTGGGTTTAAACGCTCAATAAATTGAATTTAACATAAGCTTTCCTTTCAACATAATCTTTTTGAATTCTTTTCAGGATTCATGGTCAAGACTCAAAAAATGCCTCATTTATTTTCTAGGTAGAAAAGTTGTACATCCTCATATCATCGAGTATTTACTTATTGACTTTCAGACAATGGGCTCTTTAGTATCAGACTATAAATAGTTCAGCACAAATCATTTTATTTTAAGAAACTCAATTACCGATCTTATTCATTCTAGTAATTAGATCGATAGAGATATTAAAATAATAACGATGATCTCGAGATAAAACAATGTGAAGGGTAGGATACAAACAATAGCTTACGTAACACTTCAATTAAAATAGAAAGCATCAAATATTAACAGATTTTGAATGACGCGATCGATGTTAGCATAATGCAATGCAACTATAATGCTTACATAAATAAATCGGCCATCAATTTTGGTTATTTGCAAGGCAATAAGAAAATAATACTATGGCGGTCAACAAATAGTTTGGTGAAAGTGAAATTTCAATAATACTGTTTTAGAAAACGCAATGAAAGGTATCGGATTGAATCGGGTAATTAATGGAAGCATCAATCACGACCGCTGTGTCCGATTATTCTAGCGATGTTGCTCTCGGGTTTTTTTGACTTTTAGCGGTGTTGGAATTGGTTCGCGTGAGAACTTGGGCAAGTACCTAAAGGTATTGTGCAGCGGGTTTTCGTTGAGCACTTCAATTTACAATGGTTTAGTTTTTTTGGTTAACATTTAGTGACAGTAGTTAGGCACATCCTTCAAGTTATCGTCGAACAAGATTTACCATTGGGTCATGAATATTATATATTTTTTAATCCTTATCTGCAACCAAAATAATTATTTAGAAACGACATTTTGTTGATACCTTACTTTGTACCTTTGGCGTGCTTGAAGTTATTAAAAAAGATATTACCTTCATGACTGTAAAGTAGCTAAACATTAATTCATACGGAGCATATAAGGTGTCCATATTAAATCTTGTATTTGAGTTAAAATCTTCCCAGTTTCCACATAAGTACGCAATTGATAATGAAGTTGTTTTGTAAATAAGCTAAAGAAGTTCATGGTCCATTACGTTTACGTGAAAATTGCTTGCGCTCGTTCTGGTCAGTTTGCGAGATTGAGATTGTGCACTTGACTGATCACCACCAACTTCCTTGTTTGTCCGAATCGTCAGCAACTCGTCTGATCCAAAGCTGGTAAGTCTAATCTATTTTTACCACGAGAATTACAGAAAATAATGCGGCTACGGCTTTCCAGCGGCGTTTTTAAAGCAGAAGTGCAAGAGTTGCTGGCCACCTGTTCTGTGTTGCAGAACCTTTTAGACATTTTCACACGCCTTTAACGAAAACCCCGTGATGTAGTCTGGGAAAACAGAGACAGGAAGTTCATTCCACAATCTTGCGATACGACGAAAAGGCGCCTTTTAGATGATAATTTCATGTACTTGACCTCAATGGATTAAAAAATTTCCCTCCCACTATAAAACTCAAAATGAAGTAATTTCTACATAGAAGAGACATTAAACCTTTTTGACTGTCTGTAAAATACTTTACTTTAAGTATATTCTATATTAATAATAGTAACTTCCTAGACCTGTTGTTATTGCAAACTAAAAATAATAATAATCAGAAAAATGAAATTACACACACACCTTAACATATTATTATGCTTCAATGATTAATCAAAAGCAGTTTAGAATTGAAGTATAAGACTGAAATTCATCAGAATGATGGCATTCTACCTGGCCAACTCTATGCTTGACAAAAATAGTATAGACCAGGGTAGTCAACACTGCCTACCTGCCAAGGCTCTGAAACTCCTGTAGATTTGTTATAGTCACAACAAAATTAAGTTTATTCTAATTAATGGAAAACAACATATCCTGTATTATGATTGATAAACTGTTTAAGCAATTTATTTCCTTAGATTAGAGAGTGGAATTAATTAGATTCCAATAGGACTACTTACTGATAAGAATAAAATTGACATTCATCTGAATTTGGCAATTTATTATAGGAACATTACAATGGCATTAATTAAAGTGCATCAAATGCAACAATAGGATACCATGAGCAACATCCACAATGTGGTGACCTCACACATTGAAAGGGATTGAACAACCAATGATTCGGCATTCGAGGTGGAGACTTACATCATGCTTGGACAATAAGCCAGACATGGCCATTGTTGGAAACTGTTACATGTTGTATTGGAAACGGAACTTTTTATTTCATACAATCATGTGTTCTGAGGAGCTGTCCTGCCTGGCTATTACTTTTAAGTAGTTAAGCACTATGATAGTGAATTCTATTGGACCGCAATATATTTAATAAATGAATTTGAAGTATTTATAAAAAATCCAACAGATTTTGCTATGCTTAAATTAAAGGAACAACTTACTAAAGAATAGAAGACATATTTTTAGCACATTTTTTAAAGATATGAAATAAGTACATAAAGTCAACTCGGTCAAAAGTTTGATGACCCTATCATTATGACATTTAGGAAAAAAGCAGATTCTTTTAAACTACTTGGGCATACTGTGCAATATAGGTACACCATGGAAGTAATTGGGCAATGTAATTTCAATAAAAAATTGTGTCCTCGGGTAATATCCAAAAAGCTCTAGAACTTTTTTGGAAATTAGGTATAAAAAAATAAGTTTATTGACCCATCTAAACGAAAATATAAACATAGGCAGAGGTTTTGGAATATAATGATTATTATACATACAAAAAGTTTTTTACCGCTTTGTGGAAATACCTACCAAAAATTTTAAATTCCTGTCCATATTTTGAATAGGCTTTCATTAAAAGTTCTATACAGTTCAAATAAGAAATTATAATGGTACTTACCGGCGCAACCACTTGAAAACGCCCATATCCTGCAATGAATCCACTTTTTCTCAATTTTTACACTTCGTATACAAACTGTCTACAATCAACAAGCTACTACTTGAAAACAAATTAAAACTGAAAGCGACATAGGCGAGCACGCGGACATTACCGGCGCACAAGTCCGATCGTTACAAAAAACGACTAGCAACAATGACCACCGATATATTGTGCGGTCAGACAAAACATCACGAACAGCACGCCATTCGCAATGAGCTGAATTCGAGTTTTTTGTACAAATTACTTTTCGTTGCGCTCTGTTGATCCACTTCGTCCGCGCCGCGCAGTTCGGTTCGGGCCTCGCTACCTTATCATCAAAAAGTTTGTGCTCACTAGTCTATGCAGTAGCAGTAGCCTGTTGCGGTCACCAACACCAAACGCACAATATGCTCGCTCGCCCTCACTAAAATACTAACTATTCCTTTTCGAAATAATCTGTAGGTAGTCATAAAATAAACAAATAATCAATTCAACGATTGTTTACCCTTTTGACGTTCCACTTTCAGTGTTACTCCGAAAAGCTTTATATTCATGCAAAAACTTTTTCATTTCGAATATATATAATTTGTTATACTTTACTGTACTGTTTTAAAGTCGTGAAGTCATAAAATTATTGTAAATAATTAATTAATTCTGTCTGTAATGTGATTTCGAAAAATATGACGGACGTTGACAAATAATAATCATATAAAAATCCTCCTTTTTTATTACAGAATTGTAAAATGACAGAACTCTATTATTAGACTCACTAAAGATTTTTTTTTATATTTTTATTATATTTTACAATAATATTAATACAACCTAACTTAAATGGAAACTTATGAAATATTAAGGAAACCGGAAATAATAAAAGCAAAACTTCCTTTTCCACCAAAGGGCTGCCGCCCGCGCTTATTACAAAACGCATCTCCGCATCACGATTCCTATTTTTTAATGATATTGTTTAGGTATGCTTGGTTTATACCTTAGGCATCTATCTAGATAGAAATCTGAACGATTTTAAGTAATCCAACGTTAATTAATTATAAACATTATCAGTATTCTATTTAAAATTGGATTTTCATCTCAATAGATGACAGTGAAACCTTATTTTAGAAAGAGCTCAATCATGCATGGCATGGATCAGAAATTTTACTCTTTTATCTCTCTGTTACTAACATAACTGCTAATTTAATATTTATGGTACCTACTGTTATTGTTAATTTCTTTATTATGCGCTGCTGATGAATACTGCTTTGCCTTGATCAGCGGATGTCGTATTGTATTTACACTACACTCTACACTATCTCAATAATAGCAAAATGTTACACAGTCGACATTTTCACAGAAGCCTACTTCAAAGGAAAATTTAACATTTTACAAACTTTTTTCAACGATAGAGTTTTTTACTTAAAACATTTATATGCGGATTTTGGGCGTTTCTTCGTATCCAGTATAAGTACTTAAAACTGGAGTGAAGTAACATTACCTTTTGGTGGTGTTCTATTTCTTAAGGTACCAATCACAAGTAGGTAAGGGCACGGTAATATATAATATTACCGTGGTAAGGGGATTGGATATAGGCCGGGGCCGGCTAAGAGACAGGCTACAGTAACACATTTTATCTGCTGTTCAACTATTTTTGTTACAAAACTCCACGTCTCCACATACACTTCCATCAAGATATTCAATGGAGTCCATTAATATGGCATGGCCATGGTAACTAATTAGCATACATTATGCAGTTCGGTGTATATATTTTGACCTTATAGTATGTAGTATATATTTTTTCTTCCACATTTTACTAGAAAAAAATCCGCGCGGACCAAGCAGCATATTTCTACTCGAACACACACCCTTAGCTATCCGGGCGAAAGCACTCACCATTATTCTAGCGCGGTTACGATAGCCGTGTCGAATTCCTTCTAGTCTTTCTTAAGCTGCAAGGCAGCGCCATCTCTTCGCATTGTATATAACCCACAATGTCAAATGAATATCTTTACAAGTATAGGTATATTAAACATTTAAAAGAATAAATAGCAATATATTCATAATTTTGTTTTTAAGCCTGTAACTGCTCGTTGTTTAAATCTAAAGATAATATTACTAGAAAAAATCCACGCGGACCAGGCAGCAGACGGGACTCGAACCCGCACCCTTCGCTATTCGGCGGGAGATTTAATCAGTTAGCAGTTACGTGCTTAAAAAATAAAAAATGTAATTATAATTGCAATTTCTTCTTTCAAATGTTTAATACTTAATTTAACATTGTGGGTTACCTACAATGCGAAGAGATAGCGCTGCCTTGCAGCTTAATAAGCACTAGAGAAAATTAGCACGGCCATCAGGGAAGCGGTAGCATAATGGTTCGAGTCCCGTCTGCTGCCTCGTCCGAGTGGATTTTTTTTCTAGTAAAATTTTCTGTAACACACTCTTAGATTATTACGGTTATTATGCAAAATTTTTATATTTATACTTGTCATGGTTCAGAAATAAAAAAATATTATTATTATTCCATAACTTACATAATCAAAATATGTTTGAATCTTTTTGTTTATTCTCCTGTGTCAACCCTACCAAAAAAAGGAAATATTCCACCCGCTTTACAGAAGCCTCTCTAAGGGTGCGGCCAGAGTGCACTCAGATTCAGATTCAGATTCAGATTTCGAAAACAAGCGCGAGAAATAAACAGTGTAGTCGAAGGGTACGGCCAGATTGCACTCCTGATTTAGATTCAGATTCAGACTCAGAAAACAAAGCGCGAGAAAAAGCAGGCAACCTGCTTAGACTACACTGTTTATTTCTCGCGCTTGTTTTCGAAATCTGAATCTGAGTCTGAATCTGAGTGCACTCTGGCCGCACCCTAAGGTACTCGTGCCGTTGTTCAGTGCTGCCACCTTGGATTTTTTTAAGGCGCCAAGTCAAAGGTAAAATATCGCCAGATTTCAAAAATTTGAATTTAATAAAATACACTAAAATCCGCTAAATTACAATTACATCTCAGAAAACAAAAAACCCTTATTTAAATAAAAAACCAGTGATTATGTATGAGATGCTACAGAAGTAACTGTATCCCGGAGTCGTTCTAAATTAGTAAAATTTTGTTACTTAAAAAAATTGGCAATATTGTCTTTACTAACTTATTTTAAATTTATTAGATATTCAAGAATACATAATATTTTTCCATAATGGGTCCCGACTGTTAAAGTAGCTTTGTTCCTTATTAACAGAATTATAGACTACTGGACTTGTTTTTTTCTTTTCAGTTTTTATTTGAAGTATAATTAAGCAGTCGGGTTTTTGATTTTTGTAATTTACCTTTTTTATTTCACACTTTTTAGTTACTTAGTATTTTAAGACGGTATATACCGTAGTCTTGTTACTTCAGTAAGAGAATTAATATCACGGGAATTATTAAGTACCTTGCGGTGGTCTAAAAGTTTGATTTATTAAGACATATAGAGACTTTACCAGCGGGGTCAAGGCAGCAGATGGGCCTCAATTTTCGCAAAAATGTGCGAAAGAAAACCAGTATAATTCTGAGATTTTTATTAATATTCAATAATCATAAATACCTATAATTCAATTTATTTCTCATCATTTAATAAGAAGGAACTGTATCAGAGTTTTATTGTAAGTACTTCGTATAAGATCAGATACTGCGAGTAGCCCATTTTTTTCGTTTTCGCCTAGGTTTTATCCACGTTTATAAATATAACACCTAATTAAATTTCTTCTCGTAGTATTCCTGCAGAGTGCACCGCGATATCACTTTGTAATCGTTGTAAATTTTTAAATATTTGTCGAAATGACATAGTGTAAAAGGCAAAGTTTAACGTCTTTCAATTTTAAAAGCGATAAAAGTATTTATTTTAATACAAAACTATTTTTTTAATCCATAATGTGCATTTTGGAAATGGATATCAAAAAATATTTTATTTTTGATTCACTGTTTTAGCGATAATGGCTTACACATTAAAAATAGATATATTCTGTCGCAGACACTTTTGTAGAACTATTTAAGAGATACATTTTCACGATACATTATATTCATGTAACTTTTACTGTTTTTGCATTGCAGGCTGAAATGGCTCGCAGATGGGAGGTTTTTTCCACCTTACGTGACACTTATTGTTATATTTTCCCCTATTCACTCAAAAGCTACAAAAATCATAATCTATGTGTTATTATTATGTATGAGCTATATTGTTGTTAAGTTGCATTAAAATCCATTCAGTATTTTTTGGGTGAAAGAGTAACAAAGATCCACTATACAAACGTAAGATAGAAATTCAAAGCGCAAGTCCCTAATATGCAACTTTAAATCGTTGTAGGTCCTAAACAATCAAATAAAATGAAAAATGGTGTTAGAAACCTAAACATGATTTTCGATTATCTAGACCAGTGGTTCTCAAACTTTTTAAATGACGGAACCCTTTTGGGAAGCAAAATACTTGATGGAACCCTACAATAAAACAATTATTTTTATAAGTGTATTCTATATTAATCAGCATAATAAAAGTACAATGTATCCGTTACTAATTATTATTTACTTCACCACTTGGTAAGGACAATAATAGAAAACATTAAAAAAGAAAAAATCTAACTAGTGGGAGGTATGAAACTGTTTTTTATTTTTCATCAATTGCTTGATATCAGGTTTGATGGAAGAAAGTTGGAGTCTCATATCAGCTTCGGCGTCCAGTCTATTGCGATATTTTGTTTTCGTGGCTGCGTAGGTAGAGAATCCTGTTTCGCACAAATATGTAGTTGGGAACGGGAGAAGAATATCCAGAGCCATTTGGCCAAGCATTGCATATTCATCTTGGATTCTGCACCAAAAATCATTAAGAGGCGTCGTTTTGAACAATGACTCCATACTTGTGTCTGATGACATTTCTAAAAGAGATTCATATATCTCATTTGACATGTTTTCAGGCTTTTCCAAGTTGGGTAAAAAAGGATTATGAATCCAGGAGTTCACTTTAATTTTTGTATTGTGTTCTTCGGGAAAATACTTTTCAAAAGATGCGCGCATCGAACTGAGATATTGGACCAATTCTTCAAACACATTATCTTCAAACATTTCTGAGTCGTTTTCGCTAACAAACTCAGTGAGTAACGTAAAACTTTCTATTTCTTTCTTACCAATGCAAATGATCCAAAAATCTAATTTTCTTTTAAAAGTAGTTATTTTATTATAGGCCTGAAACACTGTTGTCTGTTTACCTTGCAATGATAAATTTAATTCGTTAAGTTTTTGAAAGATATCCGCCATAAAAGACAATCGGAACAACCAAGTTTTATCATACAAACGGTCCTTCAAATTAAAAGAAGTATCTGCTGAAAGAAACATTTGTAACTCGGCTCTAAGTTCAAATAGCCTTGTTAAAGTTTTTCCCCGAGACAGCCATCGCACTTCTGTATGGAGCAGCAGTGTTTTATGTTTGCTGCCATAATCTTCACACAATAATGAGAACAATCGGGATTGTAGTGGTCGTGATTTGATAAAATTAATTATTTTTACCGCTTCATCCATAACTAATTTTAGATTAGACGGCATTTGCTTCATCGCAAGTGCTTGTCTATGCAGAATACAATGACTGGAACTACAATTAGGCGCTTTATTTTTCATTCGTGACACTGCTCCTGCTGTTTTACCTGTCATCGCCTTGGCCCCATCTGTACAAATGTCAATGCAATTGTTCCAACTGAGATTATGTTCTTCAAAAAATATATTTATTTTATTAAAAATTTCTTCCCCGGTAGTGTTTGTAAGCAGCGATGAACACATAAGCATGTCTTCTTCAAAAGAACTTTTATATGGATATCTCACAATAACCAGCAGGATAGCCAAACCAGCGACATCAGTCGACTCGTCCATTTGCAAAGCGAATCGTGTATTTTGTAGACGTGTAACTAGTTCTTGTTTGACGTAGCTTGCCAGATCATGGATTCGTCGTGAAACAGTATCGTTTGATAGCGGAACAGTAGAAAGATGCTTTGCAGATTTTTCATCAAGCATACATTTTGTTATGTCTAATACACATGGTTTTATTAATTTCTCAGCGATAGTGTGCGCTTCACCTGCTTGTGCAATGCGATAGCTAACTAAGTATGATGCCTCCGTGGCCTTTTCGTTGGTAGTTTGTGTTACATGCATCATATTTTTTTGACTTTCTAATAACTGATCTTTTTTGCGAACAAAAAATTCTTTATTCTTGTCTTTAGTCTCGGGGTGTACGGTTTCTAAATGTCGACGCAATTTGGCAGGTGCCATGGAACTATTAGGAAGCAGTTTACTACAGAGCATGCAGAGAGGTGAGCCGTTGGAATCAACAAATCCGAAACTGATATAAGATTCATCATACTTCCTTTTTTTCGTCTTTGAAACCGTCGAGCTTGACGTCGTGGCACTCGTGGCATCATCTTCTGGATCGGTGATTGCTAAATTCTCCGCGCGCATTGCTTTTGAACATTCAGCGTCATTAGAAGATGTTGTTGGAACACGTTTAACACCTTTAAGCCAACGTTCCATTCTTCTTTATTTATAATGTTACAAGTCAGGATAGTGGGGTTTAAATAATGCACAATCGTTACTGCGTATAAGAGACTAAATTTAGAACCTACAGGGAAGAAATGTATAAAACTGAGACAACAGAATACAGCAGGCAGTAAAACAATGAACACCAGTTTCTCGCTAGCGAGCTTGTAAGTAGGTAGTAACTTATCGCTCCGAACGCTAATCATCAACTGACGACGCCAACGCGCGATCGCCGCTTTTATACTTAGTCCTAGACTCGATCTCAAATATTCTCGAAAATACTCGAGTCGGCACCTTTGATAAACAAAAAGCAAAAATAAAAACAGAAATTTAAAAATAGCGTTGTAAACAATATCGACTTTATCCTTTGAAGTTAGAGACGAAAGTCGCTAGTTGACAACTATAGCGTCTAATTCAGAGGCGGCTTTTATCAAAGAGACTGAGCGCTTACAAGTATACTACCCGCTCGTTTTAAGTTTGCCGCTGGCGATAGGTATGAGTGTATGACGTTCGAAATTTTTTATTTAATTGTAACAATAAAAATTGTGTACGTTAGATATTTGGGTAAAACTATGACACATTATAAGTTTTGTTGTCACGTGGGGGAGGGTACGCGCATTCCACAGACCGGCAAACTTAGAGCGAACGCGTTGTACAAGTATAAAATTGTTGAGACCAAACTTATGAGATATTGTACCAGCTAATGTAACACAAGCTTATACAAATACAAATAAATAAATAAATAACATTCATAGCGTTTTGTCTCCGCGCGGCCGCGGAGTCCGCACAGCCGCGGAGCGACCAGAGAGAGGTGTTTTGATTTTTTTATTTCTAAATTCTTGCGGAACCCCGACAGAGGTATCACGGAACCCTAGGGTTCCGCGGAACACACTTAGAGTATAGCTGATCTAGACAGTGATACCCTACTCAACATATTTTGTCAACTTATTTTTTTTACTTAGTCACAACATGGCGCCTAATTTTGTTCATATTGAATTTTGATTACTATTATATTTTTAGTAGCACTCCCATGATTGAGACGAATTGATTGATGTATAAATCATCAAAATTGGTCCAGGCGTTTGGTCTCTAGTGTGCCACAAAGGAACAAACATACATTATATAGACTGTTAAACACTATACCCTGTCTGCGCGTCGTGCTTCGCGCTCTTGCATTGCGCGGGTAAAAAACTATACCCTAGAAAATATACCACTAGAAGCCGTAAAAAAGCTAGCCAGTTCTGGTGGAAAAACCACCAAGGCGGCAACACTGCCGTTGTTGTCTGCAGAACGGTTTTTTGGGCGGGATTTCATCGAGTGCGGTTGGCGTCTTATTTTAAATATTCTTAAATTCGTTCATAGTGGATATTGTGAAATAAAATTGGTGTGGTTTTGTGTAACAACTGTCTGCGTAACTGAAGAATTAGTGGAATCGTTAAAATATACGCTATTCCGGTCAAGTGGACGTGAGAATTTTATTGTAGTGTTGAGTGTCTGCAGAACCGCTGTCAAAACGTCAATGTCAAATAGACGCAAAATGTCAGTTGATATTTTGATTTTGGAAGCTTTTTTCGTGTTTTGATTCTGTTTTGGATATGTGTTTACTTGAGAAAGTAATTTTTTACTAATAAACTAAGCAATTTACTGAACTCGCTTGATAGTTGTTTTCCCGTAGTATCAGTATTTTGTCATGGACGAATTGAGAGGTCCTAATGTACAGATTGTTCTTCATTTGAAAGAAGGTAAGTAGGTTCCTACTTTATTTGAAACAGTTTCAAAAACGTAATGGATACAAAGTATAATTCAGACTCGTTATTTCAGGTTTGGGATTTGGTTTTTTACGAACGCCTTTTGTAGTAAGCGGCTCTTTGAATGGTTATATGTTGGAAACGGACCCTGTAGTGCCCACTCATGCGCCGGTGTTTGATGCAGAGTTAGTTTGGGAAGCTGATAAGCGAAGATTTAGAAGGTAATATCTACTTACTTGATACTATATAAACGTACGAGTTTGTAATTATACCTTCATCATATTTACATTCCTTTCATTTTATACCTGGCACAATTTTAACATGTTTTTTTTACTGGCTAATAATAATAACATTAACATAAACTTAAACCATTAGGTATCTATTAAGTCTAACATAGATCCTAACTGTCCCAACAGTGGGGACAATAATAGGTTGGTGATGTGAAAGATAGAAGATAGAAATATATGGACTATAGAAGTTTCATATCTATTTCAGCCTAAGAGTTCAGAATGTTCCTGTTAAAGTGGAGGTATATGCAACAGGAACACAAGGTCGGAAGGATAAACTAGGCTACCTGCTTCTTAGTTTGCTTTCAGCTCAACCATGCCCATCAAATAAAATAAATGATGTAAGCCTTTGGAAAGAATATTAATAAATATGCCAGAGAGCAAAATGTAGTTCTAACTACTAGTAGCTAAATTTGTAAAATGTATACAAATTAATTAATTGGTTTTATAATTTCTGCATTTCAATAGTTCATACTTTTATTAGTTCACAATTAATTTTATGAGTCTATGCACCAATTGTTGTGCAGGTGTTATACTAATTTAAATGCAACTTATTTGATTAAATTTTTAACTTCAGATAAAATATTCCTGGCACAAACTTCTGGGAGTGAGATCAGAAGGAAAATGTTGCCATCCTCAAATAATGATGAGTCTCACCATTGAAGATAGAGTCAGTACTCCCACACCGGCAAGTCAGATGCACCATAACTATATATACTATGCATGAAATAACTACATGAAAGTTGATTAAATGTTATTGCTGTTCTGATATAGAACATAGTTAAGAATAATATTACTGTTTTTAGAGAAATGAGTTGCGGATGTTTCACAGCAATGAAGTTGCATATCTTTCCACTGGTGATAAAATGAATACAGCAGCTGGAAGGACTGTATTACTATCCTTAGGTAAAAATACCAAACAAATACAGGGCTAACTGTAAATTTTTCTCCCTTGTAAATCCTTTCATTACCTTGTTGGGAAAAAGAAATTTATTGGAAATAGTAAACTAAAGAATTATTATGTCATATTGATGCTTTTTAAGAATTTATTGCTAGATTTTTACATGTAAAGAAATAATACAATTTATTATTTTATATTGACAAATGCTTATAAATGACATTTTCAGAGGAGTATATGAAAGAAAGTAAGAAGACCGTCGCGTCACCAGATCTCCAGCCAAGATTAATATGTGATGAAGGCCTTATAGAGATTGGTGCAGGCAAACAATTGTATATTTTGAGCTTAGTTATTGGAGCTGTGGAAAACTTGGATATGGTTTGTTTACTATAACATCACTTAATATATTTTACTAAAGTTGGTTTAGGCATCATGCATATTAATCCTTTTTCTACACGCATTGAACCTGATGTTTGTGTGTTTATTAACCACTCAACTTGTGCTTTAACTATATGTCCACAGAAAAAAAAACTCCACCTCAAAATAGCACTGCAGCACCTTTGACTGTTTTTTTTTATTTCAGCTTTTATCAGAAAAGGTTACTGAGAATAATCCAGTGGATTGTTATGTCTCATACTCAGTGTTCACCCATGATATCATGACTGACAGGTATCTTCTATAACCTTTAATATTACATATATGTAAACTAGAAGTAAATGTTTTTATAATAGTTGACTGTAAAGAGATTTGAAATGAAATTGGATTTTTAAGAGGGGCAGGAAGGGATAATACACCATTCTGTTAGCTATGTTTTTTGTTAAATTACGAAATCTTCACTCACAAAAATATTTTTTATCTAAATTAGAGAGGCTGTGTGAAAAATTAACTACCCTGGTTATCGCTGGAATGCAACACCAAACTAGATTACTGTGGTGTTTTTTGGTGTACTTTAATTATTTTGTAGTACCAGTAGGTAGTTACACTCAGTCCGATTTATTGACTGAGCAGTTAAGACCGATCTGAAGTTTGTCTTGCACCTAACTTCAGACCGATCTTAACTGTCAAACAACCGTTTGATTTACAAATCTCCCTAATATCTGTATTATGTTCGGGAAGGGTACGCGCCCGTAGTGAAGCGACTATGGTTCAGTTCAATCAGCGAACTTCACTGCGGTTGCGCGGCGATCTCAACGCTCTCTCGAGGTACTTCGCTGACTGTCCGCATTTAGTGGCGCGGGTCTGTGCTCGAGATCAGGACATAGGTATAGTGGGCATAATATTAAAGATTATGCTATCCTTAAGTCCCCACATCATAAATATTAGATTTTGAAAGAGATTTTGTTTGTTAGGGAGCTTGTTAACGAGACGATTTCTGCTTCGTATAATATTTATTTATATTATATAACATTTTCATAACGTAATAATGTAATACACATTCAAGACACGAAATATTTAATTGTAAACTAAGTAGTTTTTAAAATAGCTTTGTGATCAGACACTGATTTCTGTAACACAGGGTTATTATCCTAGCATAGAAATCAGGGTATTCAATCTTTCATGCACCTACTTTTGTTGAGCAATAAATTTATTACTATTATATATTCGGGCCGGTGCCCAGCTAAGCTTGTTCACGGGGGCACGGTTTGTACGTTTGTATTGACATCAAACCGTCGCTAGCGTCGGTGTCGTTAACAAACCTCCATAATGTCCCATACCTAACTGACGACCGGATGTAAACACTGTTAACAACCGTGCCTAGATCTGGTTAGGAATCAGCTCGTTAATAAGCGCTCGGCAGGCTTAAATCATTGTATGCATTAAACATAATGTATATTGAATTTTGTAGTGTGTTTTGACTGTTTCAATATTACTGAACTCATAATTTATTAGACATAGGCTACAGTAACATTTAGATTAGCTTATTTCTCCTGAATTATGAAATCTATTCTGTCTATTATGACAAAAATCAATCCCGTTTAGGAATATGCAGCATGGATCTACGCAAGCTAGTGCCTACTGAAGACCTATCAGTTTTCACTGGTCAGTTTTGTAACACTGACAACGCTCTCTCAATCCACGAGCGATGTTACATCCTACGATGCGATGGAGCCACGTCCCAAGATGCAAGAAGACCTTATGTGGACATAGAGATGAGCCTCAAGTATCTAGGAATGAAAAATGATATCGTCCAGGTAAGAAATCTTTTGCCAATAGCCCACCTGTTATAGCATTCAACTATTCGAGGGCTGGAGATTGCCCGCGGGTCGTAGTATGTCCATCCTAGATTTAGTTAAATAGTTCCTTATTTATACCTGATAAATTATATTTATATTGATTATGTATGTTTATTATCCTGTTTGATGCTTAGATACATCAATAGGTGTCAAGGTAGTTATTTTAATAATTTATCTGTTAATATTATATAGTGTACGCACGCTAGTTCGCACTGTAGACCTTGTTCTCTATATAGATACAGGATGCCCCACGACTTTGCCACATGGAGAGAAAGTAACTGAAATATTGTAAATATAATTTTTTACTTAATTGACAATTATAATTTAACTTGTAATGACGCCACTTAGTCAGTGGATAATGGATAATTATTCTGAACAAAATACTGTGGAAGTGGGACTTTAAATATCGTTAGTTCTTAATTATAGTGCGATTTTAACCTATTGGCAACTATGAATTTACCACAAGTTGCGGCGCAGTAAATGAAAAGTAAGCGTTCGCGGTGTTTCACTACTAAAATCTGTCGCCATAAAATTTGAATCGATAAATTATAGCATACCTTTGACGGCCTGCTTGGCCTAGCGGTTAATGATAGTTAGCACTGACTGCGAATCCAACTTCGGGTTCGAAGCCCGAAGGGGGCAATGTTTAGGTAATGGACAATGGACACTTGTACTTTCCTACCTTGCATATTATTTGAGTATGTCAATATGTTATCCAGCACCCATGTGATAGATACGGTATGCTTAGTTTGGCTCGAACGTGTCCAACATTTATTTACTTATTATTTATATCGTTGATAACAGAAGCCTCCGATCTACGCGGCTCGCAGTGTTACCGGGTTAGAAGGGGACCGGCAAGGGACCGAGGAAATTAGCGCTACTCTCGCGTACAACGGCGGTAGTTGTACAGACGTGAGGAGAGATACTCACACGCGCGCCTACACCGACATAGACGCCCGTAACACCGCGCGGTAAGGACCATTTTCTAGTGCCCGGCTGAGAGGGAGATAGGCAAGGAAGTGAAGAAACTTGCGTTACTCTCGCGTTCAACGGCGGTAGCTGTATAGACTTGGGCAGAGATACTTATACTCGCACCTACACCGACGTAGACGCCCGTAACACCGCGCGGTAAGGACCATTTTCCAGTGCCCGGCTGAGAGGGAGATAGGCAAGGAAGTGAAGAAACTTGCGCTACTCTCGCGTTCAACGGCGGTAGTTGTATAGACTTGAGCAGAGATACTTATACTCGCACCTACACCGACTTAGACGCCCGTAACACCGCGCGGTAAGGACCATTTTCCAGTGCCCGGCTTAGAAGGGGACAGGCAAGGGAGTATAAAACAAATTTCGCCACTCACGCGTAACTATACCAACAAAAGGGGATGACGACTCGCTTATTAAAATTAGTTATGATTGCACAACGCCTCTGACAAAAGGTAATTTTGTTTTTATTTACCTACTTGGTTTACTAACATTATGGTGTCGACTCTGCCATGATTCTCTAAACATAAAACTAAACATCAGTCTCTCCTTTTCATACAGTATAGAGAATGACAAGGATACACTGTTGTGAAATTTAAGTTTAGGTTTAGAGAATGATGCCAAAAGCGACACCAATAGGTGTTTAAATTACACAGTTATTTAATAGAAGGATCGTATAATCTCTTTATGAACTTGGTAGATTTCTCCATTGTAGTACATAAAATTTAATATTCAATTCACATATTTTATATAAATTATGTAATTTGTTTAAATACTAGTTACAAAAACGCCGCCGGCGATCCAATAATCCAATCCAACGAGATAGCGGAACTTATAAAGAAAATGTACGAATCCTTCACTCTTAACCAAGAGAAGCTCCTAGCATCGCGCCTACGGCCCACTACAAGCGATATGCAAGTACAGTGCGATCCGGAGCGAAGAGATGCGTGTGCGCACGTCGAAACTACGGGCGAAGATGGCGGAAATGAGCTTGAGAGAGATGGTGAACAGTTGGATAAGGGTTCCGGAAGAATTAAAATAGACACGTAAGTATAATAAATATAAATATTTCCAACACTCACACCAATTAGCCTAGCCCCAAAGTAAGCACCATGAGGCTTGTGTTATGGGAAACTAGGTTAACGGATAGAATACATATACTGTAAATATATAAGTATATTTATATAGAAATACATATTTAACATCCATGACTGGATAACATAACCCGGGACCTCTCGAGTCAGCGACACCACGGAGGTCGTCAGCATAATGAATCATATCTTACGCCCTAGTTAATAAATTAATCTATAATGTTCTAATATCTCGACGACGACCTTCGTGGCCCAATAGTATAAACGCCGGGTTACAAGGTGTCGCCTAGTCGAGAGTTCGAATCCCGGTGGGGGCAGATGTTCGTGTGATGAATACGAGCATTTGTACTCCAGTCATGGATGTTTAATATGTAATTATATATAAATATACTTATATATGTATCAGTATATGTATTCTATCCGTTACCCTTAGTATAGTATCCCTTTGGGGCTAAGCTAATTGTTTGAATACTCACATTTGAAATATTTATTAATTTATCTTCATATATTTAGCAAATAAATACAATGCACATGACGATAAGTTTTGTATTAGTATGAATAAGGAAACATTGGGAGACAGATGGACTAGCTAAGAGAAACCCACGGCCGCACCTTATTATATCTGAATGCAGTCGTAATTGAGTTAAAGTTAGCTTCCAGCCCACCGCCTACATAACAATAACAGTTAAAACACTTCCTTACATTGTCCTTGCCTTCTTAGGGTAGAGATTTATATTAACTACTTTAATTTTCTAATAGGATACCAGTGAAATTGGAGACAAGCAAGAGTGACACCTATATCCAGTCTACTGAAAAAGGTGAGTAACAAATAAACCAAATAATGAATCAACCGATGTGAAACTTGCACATGCGGCGTTCCGTTACATCTCTACATATAATAAAATGGTAGGAAAGTCAAAACTGTACATTGAATATTTTTTCAAAAGAATGAAGCCAAAATATAGGTTTTAGAATTTTTGTCTGTTTGTCTGTATGTATTTCCGGGATAAACTCAAAAAGTACTGCATGGATTTACTTTAAATTTGGCTATAAAATAAATATTATTAAGAAGTCGGGTCAACATATAGGCTACATATTATCACGTTATCACCTATGGGGAACGGGCTGTGAACCTTTATTTCTAACTAGTATCTGACCGAAAGTTCGGTTTCGGTTTCGGCCGAGTTTCGGCTAAAAATTAAGTTTCGGCGGCAGTTTCGGTTTCGGCCAAAATTGGCCGAAACTTTTGCCGAAACCGAAACTGATTTCGGAAGTTGTCGTGCACGCTCGTCTTACTTCGTTTTTCGCACAGCAGTTTATATCCTATATTGAGAAGTGCAGTTTCCTAAATTTAGATAAAAGAGATTGATGATTCTTCTAAGTACAAATACAAACCAAAGTATTAATTAATAGGATTTCAAAATACCAATGGGTATTTAATGAAACAGTAACAATTTGTGAATTGATTATTGATAACTGATAAAAATTTTGCTATGAAAACTTAATTTGAAAAAATAATAAAAATATTATTTATATTTTTTTATTTTATATTTAATACCTACACCTACAACAAAATTAATATATTGTGTATCCATGTCATGTCCTAATTAATGCTGAATAATGGGTAAAATTCACCAAATTTCAGTATTTTAAGGAATTTTAATCTTGACCTCGTGAGTTTCGGTTTCGGCTGAAACTGAAGCCACGGCCGAATATTCGGTTTCGGCCGAAACTGAAGCCACGGCCAAATATTCGGTTTCGGCCGGAAAACCAGTTTCGGTCGGACTCTATTACATACTTCACGCGTACGAAGTCGTGGGCGGCCGCGAGTTTTAAATACAGTGATTATTAAGGTTATAACAAAACACGCTGAAAAAAACACGTGTCCCCTTCAATTTGTTTGCTGACGAATCGACAAAGGAGGCTTAGATAATAGGATTCCTTTGTCACCCAAAGTTTTAATTGGACTTCAACAACTTTTTGTAAAAAAAAACAGTAGATAATTTTACAGCAAAAAATTTTTAGTTTTAAATTTTAGTAGTTAAATACTTTAAAAGATATGATAACGTAATTTTATTAAATTAAATTTAACTTTTTTTAATTGGTATTAATTTAATACAAATAGTAAATACAAGCTGAATAATGACATATCATCTGTTACTTTATAGATTTGAATAAAAATAATTTTCATAAGTTTTATTATTGTTATTCATTATAGTTAAGAGAGCTATGACGCCGAGAGAACGTGATGAAATAATGCAAAGGGTTGTCGATGAACTCGAAGACTGGAAGGAGAAGCAACAGGAACTATATAAACTTCAGGTAAAAAGTACAATCAAACTTTTCAACTCAATCTGTTGCTGATACACCAGCAATTCGTATTTTTTACCCCATTATCTATTCCGAGAGATGACTTGGAATAGGGTATTTGCAACTTCTTCAATACGATCTTTATTCGTATTTATAAGTACAGATAGGGTATTTTCCAAGTTTTTGAAAACTGCTTTTATTTAAAGATTGGGTCAAACGATTTAACAGAAAAATAAATAAATTAATGTCTTTTATATTTATTTTCTTTCTATTTTTTAAGCATGTAACTGCTTGATGTTTAAATCTAAAGAAAATATTCCACGCGTACCAGGCAGCAGACGGGACTCGAACCTTCGCAATCCGGGCGTTTGCACTGACCAATTACTGTGTACAATTATTGTGGGTTACCTACAATGCGAAGAAATGGCGCTGCCTTGCAGCTTAAGAATGGCTAGAAGAATTTCTACGCGGCCGTCAGGGCCGCGGTAGCATAATTGGTCAGTGCATTCGCCCGGATTGCGAAGGGTGTGGGTTCGAGTCCCGTCTGCTGCCTGGTCCCCGTGGAATTTTTTCTAGTTATATTTTATTTAGATTTAAATTAATGTCTTTTTCTCCTTTAAACCAATTAAAGTTGAATTTATTTTTAATGGTTTTGAATTTACCGCCAAAACGCTCGGTTCGATGACGTCTACTGTGTGACCTGAACTTTGTGTAAATAATTTTAACACCTATATGATCTGTGTTATTTATATTAGGTTTTTTCTTTGCAATCAAACATGCATTGTTACAATAATATGTAAGCGTGTCTTAAAGTAATAAACCGTATCATTACAGCTAAAACGCAAAGAAGAATACCATCTGGAACTTCTGGCTAAAGAATGGGAGAAGCAGCGTATAGAATTAGAGTCTAAATTGCGTCGTGGCGTCGAACAATGCAGAACTCTCGCTTCGGATCTAGCGCGAGCTACGGAAGATTTCAGATTAAGAGGATATAGAAATACACATCGTGAACATAAGGTATTAATTTTTTTCCTTTTAGGAAGACAAAGCAGCCATTAAAATTGTAGTCTTCATTACGTCGCGGCGCCGAACAATGTAGAACTCTCGCTTCTGACCTAGTGTGAGCCACGGAAGACTTCAGATTAAGAGGATATAGAAATACACATCGTGTACATAAGGTATTAAATATTTTCCCTTTAGGAAGACAAAGCAGCTATAAAAATTGGCGGCTTAATTACGTCGCGGCGCCGAACAATGTAGAACTGTGGCTTCTGATTTAGCGCGGGGATGATTTTAGAGCATTTACAAACACATCAGGAACATAAGGTATGCTTGCGCTGTTTTTCTTCAATATTTTCCCTTTAGGAAAGAGGAGGCGCAGGTGGTTAGCGCGTTCAGCCGGCGATTGTGGAAGTTGAGCAACTATCGCAATGGCGGCCATTAGATAGGTGATCTAAAAACCTATTATATTGAAGTCCTCCGTGCTTCACGTTAAGCCGCTGGTCCCGGCTGCATCTGCAGTCGTCCACTGGGCCAACGTGGTGGATCATGTCCCAATCTCCCTATTCCATTGATGGGCAGGCCTGCGCCGCAGCAGTGGGTACATTAATAGGCTGGTGATGATGAAGAAGAAGAGCGACATTCGCAGTACAAAAGTATCCACTGCTATTACTCTTTCTTAGTGAAGAAAATCTTCTTTCAGTTGCTGGAAGCGAAGAAAGCTCTAGAAGCCCATTATACGGCGAAGTACCAGGAGCTTAGAGAAGCGTCGCAGAAGATGGAAGACGATATGAATCACCAGCTGAAGATCAAGGACATGCGGATCGAGGAGTTGGAGCTGAAGGTGTTGTCAATGGAGAAGCAAGTTGATGTTTTGAAGGTGAGTTTTTGTTGTAAAATTGGGTTGGCATTGTATTGTTGTACACTTAAAAATATAGTTATAACTAGGTGTCCCAGTGAACTTCGTACCGCTATTAAAAATAGAGGACTATTAAAATTATCTCAAAATCTACAAGTTTGCCTATGGCAACAATCAACAGTCATAATAATATACCTACAGCCTTACTAATAAACAATGTCTAAACAGTTGTTTAACTAATAAACAGTAGTGGAATAGTTACCCCATGAATAAACCCTGTGTAAATTTATACAAGCGTTATACATTCACCCTACCAATAAACATTGTACAATCTGCGAATAGTTACACTTCTGTTATGTATAGTAGAAATTTCTCAATGGCAATGTTTATATGTTATGTTCAGAAACCATAGTGTCAATATTTTTGTAGTATATTTATCGAACTGCAAATAATGTTATTTAATTAAGAGATAACCACGGACCTGAAAAAAAGACGGACGTAACCTCGTCTTATCTCGAGTGAAGCATGCAAATGGCCGCCCGCTTACAGTGTGTGCGTGATTTCAGGGTTGTCGGGTAAATCATCAATTTCCCTACTTTTTAAATCTCCCAAACTAAAACATTGTTAACATTATGTAATCAAATATATATTATAAAAACGGGATATTTACCACGTGTTTTACTCGTTGTGAGCTCCTGATTTTTCAGCAATTTAAACGGTCTATCAAATTATTTTTAGGAACACCGAGATAGATTATGTAACTTGTTATGTAAAAAGAAACTTTATTGTTTACATATAAATGTTAGTGTCTTAATATTATGTATGAGGTTAATAACATACATTAATATACATAAATCGCGCAGATTAATGCTTAAAATAAAAATATAATAGACTAATATTGCTATTTCTTCTTTCAAATGTAAGTATTTCATTCATAGATTGAGTAGGTATTTAAAGACTGACAGAGTGAGGAAAAGAAATATCATGCCAATCCTATAACGTAGAAAGAGACGCAACATGATGTACCTTTCGTCTAATAATATATTTTTAGCAAGAGCCGCAGCGCCCTGTCAAGTCGTACTGAGATAAAATTTATTATGAAATTCTGTGAAACTAACTCGACACTTTTATAAATATTTTTTTGGAACAGTAGCGATAGGTACTCTGTCTATCTTTACATCCTATATCTATGGTTTCATTTGACATCGTGGTTTACCTACAATGCGAAGAAATGGCACTACCGTGCAGCCTAAGAAATACAAGAAGAAATTCGTCATGATCATTAAGTTCTCGGTAGCATAGCAATTAGTGCATCCACCCAGACAGCAGAAAATGCAGGTTCAAGTCCTGCCTGTAATTCATCACACTAATATTATAAATGCGAAAGTTTGTGAGTATGTGAGTGTGTATGTTTGTTACTTCTTCACGTCTAAACGGCTGGAGCGATTTTAATAAAATTTGGTATGGAGTTAGCTGATACCCTAGATTAACACATAGGCTACTTTTATCCCGAAAAAATGTTAGGTTCCAGAGGGATTTTCAAGAAACTAAGTTAACGCAGACGAAGTCGCGGGCGACCTCTAGTTTTGTAATAATTTTGGTTATCGTAATTTGGTTTCAAAAGTTTATTTGTATAGTAGTTCTGTTAACGGGTTTCAACTGTATCTATATATATAAAACTCAAAGGTGACTGACTGACTGACATAGTGATCTATCAACGCACAGCCCAAACCACTGGACAGATCGGGCTGAAATTTGGCATGCAGGTAGATGTTATGACGTAGGCATCCGCTAAGAAAGGATTTTATCAATTCTACCCCCAAGGGGATAAAATAGGGAATGAAAGTTTGTATGGAACTTTGTCAATTTTAAACCGATCGGGCTGAGACTTTGCATGCAGGTATAAGAAAAATCATAGATGAATGTCATTGTGTATAATACAACAATTCAGCTCTACACCGAAGCGAAGCGAGGGCGGACCGCTAGTTTTTAATATTTCTTCTTTACAGGCTCAGGTTTGAACGAAAACCAAACAACGTGTGCACTGCACACAGTACTGGAAGGTGATGGGTCCCTAATTGTTATCCCCTTTGCAGTATCGAATAATTCAAACCCAGTCATCTCTACGGTTTCTATTTCTAGGAAACCTATTAGAAAGAAGACAAGACTATAATTTATATAAAATATTCTATGAATAATATGGCTTCTTTTCTTTTCCTTTTGGGATACGGAACCCTAAAAATTTACGAAATCTTATCTTGCCTAGTCACAAATGCAAGAAATACAAATTTCCCTACTTTTAGGGAAAATTTCCCGTAAATAAAGTAGCCACACAGTTGTATTTTTGTTTACAATTTTTATCCTTGTAAATAAAATATAATATAAAAAAAATATCAAGAATCGTCAATACTTAAGCATAGTAGGTGATTCCTTGTGACTTTTCAAATTTACTCGTGTAGTTTTTAAAAGATTTCACCACACAAGACGGCATTTTTTTTAAAATATATCGGAGCAATTGAACGTGTGACTGGCGCTGTCACGCGAGTTCAAATGGCAGCGGATTGTCCGACCTGGTGCATTAGTGTGAGTGTAGGTAGTGTACAACACACGATTTTGTCTGACCTACATGTCATTGTCATGCTTCACATGATTTGCCTTTGATATTACGTCCGTCTTTTTTTCAGGTCCGTGGAGATAACATTATTAATGCAAATACTTTGTTTTATTTATGTTTTTGACTATTGTGGATATATTTTTTTTAATGGATAGCATATGCTAATTCGAATAATTTTAAATAAAACTAGTTTTTACGGGTTAATGCACGAATAATTTTATTTATTACTCAAAGTTATTGGTAACTTCTGAACGAATTTCATACTTGTTAATCCTGTGCTGAGCTCTTTCATTCATAAATAATGTTTGGTGTTTACTTTCCGTGTTGTTTGCTTTTGATTGTATTTTATTATAATTTCATATTTATCTTTATAAAACAATGTCAAAAGAAATTTCTATCCAAAAAAGGAAGAGAAGTGCTAAATGGAATAAGACATTTCCTATGGGAGTGTTTATAGATGTGATGCACATTATTGAAAACAAGTGTACTGAGACAGACACAAATAAATCCAAATCTTGGACTACAGATTGTTCTACAGTAAAACAGATGTATACACTCCTTGCGTCAAAGAAGTTTTTATTGGTAACCCGATGGCTTGCAACACGTGTATAACAAAGTTATATGCTTGCTTTTATTTTCATTAGTAAGGCTGCTAGTTTTTTATTAATAATAATATGCCTAGTGTTTCATTAAAACATTCATACTTGTGTGCGGACCGCAAACTATGTGAGCTCACTTAAATATGTGAAGCTAATTATAGGTTGTAGTCATAATCATAATCAATCATGATCAAAATCATTTATTCAGTTTAGACTGTTACAAGCACATATGAATGTCTAGAAGCTACGCCAACGTATGTTAAGCTAAGCTAAGCCTTTTCCTACTTTGCACCTTCTTCGTGCCTTATTGACTGAGCTTTCGCTTAGTTATTAGTGTGACTGTGAAATCTTTATTTTTTAAATTGGTTTCTTTCTTTAGAACAACTTTAAAAACATCGAGAAGGAAGCTGAAAGCAAATACTCGGGCTTGACGAAGGACCAAACTGCCAGTCTCATACAAGAATTGGTGAGTACACATCATTTTGAACAACGAATTAGAAATGATATGGAAGCATTACTCGCTAACAAAGGCCGCTAAAACATGGTTCAAAAACTTTTACAACTAAACTTCAAAACTAACAGGACACGCACACAGACAAAACAAAATAATTAGACAAATCAAATATTTGCATATGAATTTGTCTATACATTCATTGGGCAAGATATTGTTGAACGGAAATCCCAACCAATCCCGTGATCTGCGTATTGACCGCACTTTTTCTCCCGCCCACTTGATCGCAGTTTACGTGGAACCACTTTTTGGCGCAATTCGTTTTCTATATTATTTTTAATTCGTTTATTTTGAACCTTTTGAGTTGCGAATTTGATATCATTTTATTTACTCAAGGCTTAATTTTTTTACTATATTTTAAAAAATGGAATAAATGAAAGGAACTGCCCAATATAATTATTTAATAACAATGTAAATAAGTAGTTATTGGGTCCGCACTTAAAAATATTAATTTTAAAGTTTGATTATGTTGATGCTGTCACTTACTTTGCGATAGAAACAGAATAATATTACGTCACTTTGACAATCCTAAGTTTTTAAAGAGGAATTTTGTTAGAATAAATTCCAGGCGGGCCCGGCTGCAGGCGGGACTCGAACCAGCACCTCGTATCCTAAGAAATACTAGAAGAAAATCGACACGGCCAATTAAGGGCATGGTAACATAATTGCTTCGAGTCCCGTCTGCTGCCTGGACCGCATGAAAGTGTTTCTAGTAAAAATGTTCTTTAGACTATTAAATGTAGCAGTTAAACGCTTGAAAATTATTATAATAATAAAGCTATGTTTAATCGTTATTTTAATAGATATTAATTCTGGTATGACTTTCAAACCTGAAACTAATTTTGACACATAATATATCCTCATCACGCTCTACAATAAGGATAAAAAAGAAAGATTGCTGTTTTTAGTTTTGTGAGTTAAAATAAGGTGAATGAAAGAGAGACTGCTGTTTTAACCTCTTTAAACATCAAAAATGATGTCCACCGTACAGTACGTATTTTTTTCAACCTTTTACTTATTAAATATAATACGAGAGGGCACCCGCGACTTTGTCCGCGTTAAGTTTGGGTTTTTCGAGAATCCCACAAGAACCTAAAAATTCTCCGGGATAAAAAGCATCCTAAAGTACGGCCAACGAGAAGCGATATAAAATGTAAACAAATTCGATGAAAGGGCATTAACCAATCCAGTATATTATTTTGAAAAATATCATTTTTTATGAAAATGAATATAGGACCATTTTCATTTTAAAAGGCATGTATGTTAAATACAATGTAGAAAACAATAATTCAAATTATCAAAACAGAAAAAAAAAGATAATAGTTTTCTTATCTATTGTCACGTGACCCAAAACGCTTGGGATTGGCGGAGCCTAAAATAACGTCACACGTAAGTAAACTTTCGGTTAAAGTGACATTACATTGTATCGTTTGACGTTTTAATAACAGTCGTGTGACGTCACACACTAGTAAGACTCCATATTGTCCAGAAAAACGTTTTCGCGGCAACTTGAAAATGGAGTTTTTGATTTGGTTATTTTTACTGAATTACACAACAGAATGATGAATATCCACTTTTTACGGACTTCATTAACATTAGTCAATAACGTGAAATCGTTTTCTAAAACTTGTCAAATACCCTATTGTGTGTGCTATTTCTGAACTTGACATCAGTCTGTACTTTTCATTTTTTTATAAAGCGTGTTAGAGACATACTGTAGTCAAAGTTACAAATAGCAGATATGATAAGCCAAAAATAATAATAGAACTGCATCGCCGCCATTAACTCAAATACCTTCAAATATGAGCACTAAATTCGCGGTTTATCAATCGCAGCGCTGCTTAGAAGAAAAGCTAGACAGCGCGATGCAATCGAAGGCGTTCTTCAAGGAACAATGGGGGCGGGCCGTTAGAGAATTGCATCTCACTAAACTGGGCACTCGGCGACAGATGCTCACTCAATTACAACACGAGAGAAGACAACTGCACGACATGGGGTATGTGAAACAAAAGTGAACTTTAAATAAAGTATTCTATTTATTTATTTATTTTCTTAAACAGCTTTTCCGATACAAAATCATACATTTCTAAACGTATGGCCAATGACAGGTTTTCCTTAACTAAATGAACAGTAGGTGAATTATTATTGGTACTTCTATCCCTAACAAGCGATCATCAAACAATCCATCCGCATGTAATCGTTATGTAATCTTATAAAAGTAGTAGGTATAAATCTCTGAAATAAAATGTAATATTTATACATATACATACACACATACATACACATATATACATAATAATACTAAGTATGTAAGACTAATAAGGTATAATGATAACTTTTCTTTGTTCCCTTTATTCATCTAATGTTTCTCCAATATATATACAATATTTTTAATTACAAATAAATATTAGTATTTACCCTTTTGTTTTTTCCCCTTTTTTCTGTAGTCTATTTTTTATTTCATGTTTCATCATCATCATAACCAGCCTATTAATGTCCCCACTTCTGGGGCATAGGCCTTCTCTATGAAAGGAATAAGGAAATTGGGCCGTGACCCACCACGTGGGTGCAGAGTGGATTGGTGGGGGCTAAGGACTGCAGATGCAGCCGGGACCAATGGCTTGACGTACATTCCGAAGCACGAAGGAGCTCGAGATACTAAATTTTTGGTCACCCATCCAATTACCGACCATTGCGAAAGTTGCTGAACTTCAACGATCACAGCCGAACGCGCTTAACACTTGCGCCACGAGCTCCTTTAATTCCATTCATTTCATTTCATGTTTACTGACCACTATTAGTACGAGAGCCCACGACACTAAACCTAGTACGATAACACTCCCAGATGTACATGTAGATAAATTAATAGTTGGTAAGCAAGTACCTACCGCAACGCTGTTTAATTATGTAGTATTGCGAGTGGAATTATTTCTAGTAAAATTTTCTTAACATTCTTAAAACTCGTAGTTTGATGCTTTTATAAAAATCATCATCATCAGCCTATTAATGTCCTCACTGCTGGGGCAAAGGCCTTCCCTATGGACGGAATGGGGAGATTGGGCCATGACCTACCACGCGGTCCCAGTGCGGATTGGCGTGTACTTACGACTGCAAATGCAGCTGGGACCAACGGCTTAACGTGTCCTCCGAAGCACGGAGGAACTCGAGATAGAATATTTTTGGTCACCCATCCTATGACCGACCACTGCGAAAGTTGCTTGCTAATAAAAATAACAATATAATATATGTACTTGGTTTTAGCGGGACTGCAATACAACCACTCCATAATCGAATAATCAAAAAATTGAGGAGTTTATATATTTTTTTGTATTACAGATTAGATACAGTAACAGACCAAGAAGAAAATGTCGCTAATCAAAATAATGTCGACATCAAAAAGCTAAAGGATGATTTTTACGTCGATATTCTGGCTAATACCCCTGCCTTAGACTCACATTCCATTATCAGTAAGTATAAATTAATAACAAGTAAAATATGTTTTGTGTTGCAGATTTTACGTTAGATTTTTTTAAATCAATTTATTAACGTCATATTTTTAGGTACTACAGGGCCAGTTGGAATGGATATATACGATGAAATCAATAAGTAAGTACATATATAGCCACATACTATATACCGATTATAACTCTTTCTCTGTGTCCAGTAATAAAGTAGTCACATACATCCTTTCAATTCTAACACATTGGCGAGTGTGGCGGCTTTTCCTTAAATCTTTTGGTAGCCTATGCTTGGTACTGGCATCAATATTTTTTTTTAACAAATTGCCATTGTTGGCTTCTGTATTAACAACGAATATTGTAAGCTGTCTTTACTATTTTTACAGAAAAAATATTGATAATTTTACTATAAAACCACGAAAAAGAAAATAGTTTTTATCTATTGACGCGAACTGAAAATGCCTTGGATTGGCGGAGCCTAAAATGAGGTCATAGATAGGTAACTTTCCGGTCAAAGTGACATTAGTTGTACTGTTTGACATTTAAATGACAGTCGTGTAACGTCACACATAGGTTAACACGCCTAAGTACCTAGAGTAACGTTTCAGCGGCATATCTGAAAGCAGTTTTTTAATTTCTTTGTCTTGCTGAAATACCCAACAGAATGATAAATAACCACTTTTTATGGAGTCCATATTTAAAGCACTTATAGGTACTGTAAGATTGTTTCCAAAAAATTGTCAAATACCCTATTCATTAATTTCAACTTTATTGCTCCAATTACAAAAATGGACAAAAGGCGGACATAACGCTAAAAGCATTCTCTGCCAGTCAACCTTAAGGCATAGAGAATTGGTGTGTTAGTTTTCACACTGTCAAATACCTAGCCAAATTATATTGGTGTCTTGTCCCAGATGCACTGACAAGAGCCCTGTGAACGACAAACTATCCTCGCTGATATCGCAGCGCGAACAGTTGAGTCGACAGCCCACGCCAGACCCGGCTCTCATGCGGCATCTCAGCGCCGAGATAAGGGCGATGCTGCTTAACTGTACCACTTAGCTAACATAACAAACTGATATATTGTTTTAAACTTTCTTGGTCACTAACTTTATAGTTATTAACGGGATTGCTACCATAAACCTTGTTTTCTGTGAGTCAGCGTGAAAAAACAAGGTACATGCTAGTAATCCCGTTAATAACTATAATGGTAGACTGATATTATCACTAGAGTTGCCACCATTTTTAGGGCGAATAAAGTATTTTTTCATTTTGATATACAAAAATAAAGTAAACAGCATAAAAAAAGAGAAAAGATAATATTATTTTCATTAAATATTTTTAAAAACTTATTTATTATTGCTCTGTAAATATATGAGAATTTTAGAGTACTTTGTTGGGGTAAGACACCAATAAAGTAAGCTTACATGAAAAAGAGGACAAAACTCAATTTTAGAGTATTTCAAAGCCTGAGTCGACGACGCATATGCTTCAAATTGTATGAAAATCGAGCGTGTCATATTTAGAGTACTTACCAATGAGGTGGTGGAAAATGGGTTTCGGCTACCAACTTAATAGTTTCTATTTTATAGTTTGTAAAAGCTTAATACGGCACTAATTAATTAAATTTTTATTAATGCATTGCATGCAAATGGGCATTAATTTAAAAAAATGCCATTTACGTTCGTTATGTAATAAATTCGTTAACCGCAGAATTAAAATAGCGTTAAAAGTTACAGCTTTACTCTTCGTTTTGGCATGTGAAGTACATACACTGGCCTTTCTATTTCGTTCTATGTCAACGTGTTATCCACAATAACACGTTGTTTATAGCTTGTAGCATTTTGTTATAGTTCGTGTCAATAAATTAACATATTGAAAAGGCGAGGTAAGACATTCTTTTCTCCTCTTTCAAGGACATAGACATAGAAAATGGATTGAGTGTTCTATTACCGTAAAGTAAATAGGAGCATTAAAGTATAAGAGAGCGAGACAAAACGACCACATTATAGCTTTCTCTCTTTCTACAAAGTGGTAAAGTTTATACGGTTAGTGGAATAGAATCCATACAAATTCTGAACATCTCCTTTGGGTTAAAATTTTGAAAACCATACCAGAATCGGGACTCAGTCCATTGTCTATGTCTGTAGCCAAGAATAATGTATAAGAGGGACAGATTGTCATGCGTCGTCATTTTGTATTCGTTTCTTTTCGCCGCGAGTTAATCGAAATGTAGGAACTGGCACCTGGTTACTAGCGTTATATATTTCTCCATATTTCAATTTCCTCCTGTGTTTCTAAAACTCACCAGTTATTAGTAGAGGCAAACCTCTGAGCAAAACCTCACACAAATAAACTTGCGCATTAGATGTTTTTGTAATTTAAATTTCTTAATAGGCCGACTTCCTTGTCTATGGTCGCTGCTCACGCAGCTTGCTGGAGTGTAAACTGTACAAAATTTTAATATGCTTGGAAAATAAATTTTGTGTCAGGCAACACTAGCCGGCTCTGTAAGCCTACTCGCTAACTGCTTTTGACAGATGGAAGTGATAATCACCGAGTTATTTAGTGATCCACTACGGCTTTATCATAACGCCACTAGGATACTTGTTCTGAAAAGCATAGATGGATATGCAATTTTCTGTTTAGTTACACACTGTAAATGTCCAAAAAGTTAGCTAATAGGCCGGATGATGGTACAGTGGAAGATCAAATTTTTACCAGTCCGTTGTACCTGACGATTTAGATTACTCATAACTTGTACAAAACAACCATTCCAATTAACAGTGCATTGCACAATTTTTGTAAGCCTTCATTGCCTAATGAAGCAATCAACGGTGTCGGTTGAACAATTTATAGAAATAAGACTGTCATAAAATTATCGGACCTAGTGTATTTTGTAAACTCAATGACTTTTATAGGCAATAACTGTTTTTTTATCGACATAACGAGACGATGTGAATATAATTTTAGTGTTATTATGTTATTGTTGTGAATAAAATTTATATCTTGTTAAATCTCTTTCCTTTTTTATTCCGTAACTCCGGTCACCCCTTATCTTATATTAGGTATGGAACACAGCCCTGGAGAGAGCCACGGACACGAGATGGACGGCGATGGGATGGCCAAGATTTGGGGGCCTTGGTCATTTAATAGGACTGATGACTGTAACCGATAAAACGGATGAGTGAGAATAAGAATGTAAGCCTTTTTTCACTTTCTAATAGTATGACCATAACTTTGATTTTAGGAATTCAAACATTAAAACAAGATTTTTTTATGTTGCTGGGGCTCAGGCCTTCCCTACGGATGGAATAACGAGATTGGCCATGATCCACCGCGCCGTTCCAGTGTAACTAGTACCTAATCTGTGGTTCCAGTCCGGATTAGTGTATACTAACAACGTATACTAATGACTGCAGATGCAGCCGGGGTCTACGGCTTCACGTGGCGCGGAGGAACTCGGGATAGGTTGTTTTAGGTCACCCACCCGATGACCGATCATTGCGAAAGCTGCATGGCTCCTCTTGTTACAGTCCACATACTACTAAGGAGATACTACGCATTTAATAGTATCGATTCTGGCACGATTTTTTAAATTGACAACAGTGTATCCTTGTCATTCTCTATACAGAATGAAAAGGAGAGACTGATGTTAAATTTAGTTTTAAGTTTAGAGAATAGTGTCAGAATCGATACCAATGATGTTAAATTTAATTTTAAGTTTAGAAAATCACGCCAGAATCAATACCAATGTCATGTCAGAAATACCAATGTCTAATGGTTTTGAATATGGCAATATTATAATTGTCACATTGACGTTACGAATTAGCAAGTTGCTGGGTGGGTTGGTTTTGATACTTTCGTTTATTTAGATATTTTAATTCTTGTAGAATAAAGTCCCAAGCAATAACCTAGAGTTAACCATAAATAAATTTAATGATAGTATAAAAAAAGCACTTAATAAAAAAATTGTAAATGTTGTTACATTAGATGTGGAGTGAGTGTTGTGGAGTTTTATTCGCTTGTTTTTCTCCGCAGCTAAAAATTATGTCCATAACGATTGGTAGGGAAAAAAAATTTGGACGATTCAAAAGAGTTGTACTATACATCCAATTCGAATAAAGATATATTATTGATTTCCGATTTCTGATTGTATATACACGTAGAATACACAGTATAGTAGGTAGCAACAAATATCGACTTCATGCAGTCAAAGCCACAAACAAATAAATTATTCTTAGCGATCCTTTACCTACATATAAAAATCAAGTTGTTGCAAATCCCGAGTAGTAAAATACAACTAATGTTTTAAATTTGCATAAAATGTACTTATATTATTTATTAATAAATCTTATCATCATCATCCATCATCGAAATCCGTCTACAGCTCTGTTATGAGGTAAAAAGAAAGCAGTATTGAATTCTACCCCCTTTTTTAAAGTTGGTTATAATGTTTCATGAATCTGTTAATTAAAACATCAAGTCTATTTCGTCACTAGAATGCTGTATTTACAGCTACAGATTTTTTTTTGCCACTCATTGATTGTCGCTAGGGTCAAGTCACGAATCACGATACATTAGACAGACTGATAATTTAACGTAATTAAAATCATGATCAACAAGGGCGTACCCAGTTTCTGGTCCAGGTATGTATGTTTGATAGTTCGGATACCCGAGCTTGTTTTGTCATACGAACTACACACGTGAGTGAGTGTATAAGGTACCTGTAAGATAAGTATGAAGTGTGTAAAGGAATTACCCACAAGAGATACGTCTTTACAGAAGTCTAAAGAAAATTTTAGTAGAAAATATTTCATGCGGTCCAGGTAGCACACGGGACTCAAACACGCACCCTTTGCCATTGATTATGTAAAGACCCTCCGCTGTCCGAGCAGACTGGGCTGCAGCGATCTTAATGGCTGTGTCGAATTTCTTCTTATATTTCTTATGCTGGCGTTTCATTTTGCTAATCGTGTTTGCTATTTATAAACTTGAAATCAGTCTGTCCAAGCACGATAAGGACAGACTGCTGTCAACTTAAAAAATAGCAAATATTGGTGGTATGGTATTTGCTATGGATTGGCAATTTGGCATATGTGTGTGGCCAAGTATGGTTAGTTCATTTGTAACATTTGTATGTAATCACTCCAAGAAGAGTGCCACCCTCCACGCCATGGTGACCGGTTCTGTAAACATTAAAATATTATGATGGACACAAGGCTGTATCAATTAAGTTTTCTTAGTCTTCTCTATGTTTGCTTTCTTGTGTTGAGTGACAATTGACATTGACAGACTGTCACAGCTGTGGAAATATTCTGTGCTGCTGTGGCGTACGTTTTACTCTGCAAATTAATTACCTACCACTACCTGACTTTAATTACTCCAGCAGCGTGGTATAAAAACATACTGTAGTATTTCCAATGTATCGTTTATCTTACAATTGATTACGTTCAGCACATCATCGCTTTATTAACGCAAATTTTAGATAGTGTTTGTTAAACAATGGCCAAAACTAAAGTGACTGGAGCTACTAGCAGACTAAAGCAGGACTATCTTAGACTAAAGAATGACCCTGTTCCATACGTAACTGCGGAACCTGTACCTTCAAATATACTAGAATGGCATTACGTCGTCAAAGGTCCAGAGAAAAGTCCTTACGAGGGTGGATATTACCATGGTAAAATAATATTTCCTAGGGAATTTCCGTTTAAACCTCCCTCTATTTATATGATTACTCCGAATGGACGATTCAGGACCAATACTCGATTGTGCCTTAGTATTACTGATTTTCATCCGGACACCTGGAACCCAGCATGGTCTATATCCACTATCCTTACTGGTTTATTGAGCTTTATGCTTGAGAAAACGCCAACATTAGGGTCCATTGAAACTTCTGATTATCAAAAGCGTTGCTTGGCAGTAGAATCTTTGGAAATCAACTTGAAAAACAAGATGTTCTGTGAGTTGTTTCCTGAATATGTTGAGGAGATTGAGCAGCAGCTGAAACAGCGCCAAGAAGCTATGTTGCATTCAGATAACACCAACATCAATAGTGAAAGTGAAGTGACAATGGAGCAGCAGTCTAATATGTATTATATTATGACTAATTTGTTTGTGGTAGTGGGCTTTGTGTTTCTTGCATACATGGTAAAATATGTTTTAGTTTCCATATCTAATGACTAGATATATAATTATAAAGGTCTTTTTTGTGTAAATAATGTATATTATTTTGTAAATATTTATTCCAATAGTTGACAGATAGTTTTATGAAACCTGGATCATACCCAAGGTTTAGTTATGTGATAAATAAAATTGCTTTTCCAGGTTCTGTTTGTAATTGCATGTAACATGCGGACTTCTGAGAGTGCCTAGGTTTATGGTTAATGTTATGTGCATTGATAAGCACCTGATGACACCATTGAGATAATACTGGTGTGTTTCAGTCTTGCCTTTGCTAGCATTGTAAATTTTTTGAATGAAAGATGGAATAATAAAAATATTTACTCTGAATTATTAGTAGTTTTAGTTCAATTCATTACTTTGCTCAGCTCAGTGATTTTTTTTCATGTGGTACTTACCTACAGAATCATGTGTTAATTATTTTATCAAACTAAGTGTTCTGTTTTGATTACATTATATGTATTGGCAACTATTTTAGGCAATTATATGAGCCGGCTTGCAAAATATGTAGGATTTTTAAGATATGTTATTATTTCAATCTAGTATCATAAAATAATTAATTCATTGTTGTGTTAACGGTGTCTAGTTTCTTTATTATAGTTGTTGCTTAAATAACACTGTTTTCCAAAAAATAATCCCATTGAAATATTTATATACATAAGCTGTGAATAAACTAAAAGCGTTTGCCATACAAATGTACTGTTATTTCATTATATATGGGGTACCTGCATTGAGCTGATGGAAGAAGTGAAGTAAATGAAAGTTGTATGTAGTTGCTTTTATTTAGGAGGTGAAATATTTTGAACATCCTTTTGTCTTGATAAACAATTGCAACCCTGTTTTTATTTATGATTGTTATCTATTATCAACATCTTAATTACTATTTGTAAATCTAAAATAGCCTTAATTTATGTTGGAAAGAATTAGAAGACCTGGTAATTTCATGATAACTTAATATATGGTATTTCTTAATTGATTCTATTCTTGCATTTAAATCCTGTCTTTAGCAAGAGAATGGCATAAGAAATCTACGTAAGTGGGACCTGCACACTATGATGTAATAACATGAATATAGTTATAAGTTTAACAGATCATAAAAGCTATGTCATTTACGTTACCTTCTAATTGAAGAAAAAATATAATAGGTAAATTTAATTCAAATTGCACTGTTTTTACAAACTGCACAATGTGTTAAAAACAAAGTTGTAGATTTTATCAATATATTTGGATAATTTATGTGCAGTAAACTTATTTTCATAATACATGCTGTTTTTATTATTTCCTTTATTTTACAATATTCTGAATTAAACAAAATAATCCTGATGTGTGTGTGTTATATTTATTGTAGACAACACTTCCAGCAGAATTATCGAGATTGGTTTTGTTGTTGACAAGTGTCGTTTATAGCACCTTCATTAAATTGAGGATATATGTATATAGTGTTTATATCACTATATTATAGTGAATCCAGAAAGTAATGTTAGAATGAAGAGAAATAAAACAATCATTCACAATGATATATATAATAACTAACATACAATAAGTGTAATTACACCTTATTTTAACATGTTCTAACTTCATTATTTTTGAGATGGGATCAATGGAAACTTATTACTATATACACAATTATGTACTATTACTAAGTTATTACACACACAGTGTAAATAATAATTATTGTGATAAACATTTACATAGCTAAAGGATACATAAAAAACATTCACCATTATTCTTGAAATTCTGAAAATTCAGACTGGTATAATACAAAAAATTATGAGAAAAGAAGATTTTAGTTTGGATTAAAATATTTTCAAGGCTGAGAAAAGCTTTGCAGAAATTCACTTAAATAATAAAATAATTCATTATACATACATGATACATATATGAAGAAGGGCCACTTGTAACTATTATAATACTTCAAGACTACATAATGTACAGTACACACTATACTTACCTGTATAAAGTAATAAGTTGGCATGATTACAAATTCTTTAAAAAAAAAAATATCTACACTAGTAACTTAAACACAAAGCAAATGTTAACTAAATATTAAATTTATTCCTTGACTTCCTCTTCTTCATCATCCCAATCACTGACTAAGCTTTTTATGTTATCATCCTTCATTGATTCATTTTTATCAGTTTCATTTACTTCACACTTATTATTAATTACAGTGTCATTATCTGATTCGTCTTTATTTGTCTGAATTTGAATGGTGACTGGCTGTTTGTCCCCATCTTGGACAACTGATGCCTGTACTTCACTTTCAATAGTAGACACATTTTCTTCCTGTGAATCATTGTCTTCCCAATCATTTAAAAGAGATGTTATTTTTACTTGATTGGTGCACATTGGTTCTTCATTTTCAAGAGTTGTATCTTTAGTATTTTCCAAACATATTTCAGTGGAGTTAATGCTTTCTTCAGGTACAGGAGTTTCTTCTTCTATGTGTGTTAGTTGCTTTTGCATCTCTTGTTGAATGTTTTCAATAGATTCTTCAACTTCTGATTCCTGAGTGATTTGAGGTTCAGATTCTGCTGCGGGGATGTTACTCTCTTCTATTGGATCTTGAGAAACCACATCATACTCATCTTCTGACCACTCTGAAGTTATATTTTGAATTTCTTCTGCAACTTTTGGCTCAGTTATAGTTTCATTAGTAGTGTTATCAACTTCTACTGCATTAGAAAGTAGTTCTGTTTGAACTTCTTGAGTGTTGTTTGTAGCTTCTTGTTCCGTACTTTCATTAATTTCTTCTGAATCTTCTATGATCTCCTGAGTATCATGGGAGTTGATTAAAACTGTTGAATTTTGAACTAGGGAATAGTCTTCTTGAGAAGCATTAGATGTTTGAGGTATTGGTTCAGGTTCAACTTGAGCCACTTCTGATTCCTGAGTGTTTACTTCCCTATCTGATATAACTTCGGTTGAGATGTCAACATCCATAGGTTCGTTTGTATTATTTTGGATTTCTTCAATTACAACTTGATTAGTATTATGTTGCGTATCATCAATATTAACAGAATTGGATGCAATGATGTTATGTGACAATGGTTCTATAGTTACTGAGTTATCTTGTACTGATTGAGTTGTATTTGACAGCCGAATGTCTGGTAGTTCTTCTATACAAGCATCAGGGACAGTTACAGTTTGTTCAATGCTTTGATTGTTTTGGACACCTTCATCAATTTTATTAGTAGTGTCAACGTGCACTTCAACTTGATCATTAGTGGTGTGCTGTGACCATGATTCTTCCATTTGTGCTTCAATGACATGACTATCTAAAACAGATGTAGTAGTTGTGACAGTTTCATAATTTTGAGTCATTACTTCAGATGCCTGTACAAACTGTGCACCAATTTCTTCAGGTGTAATAATTTGGTATTGCTTGGCAGGATCTTCTTGTTCAACTGAATGGCTGTAGACAACCACATATTTAGAATCAGCTGAAACTGCAGTTTCAGTAACATTCAAAGGATAATCTTGCTGAATGATCATCATATCACCAGGTTGTGTGTTTTGTAATTCTATGGCAGTATTGTCCATTGAGTTTGTATGTGGAGCTGTCAAAACAGTTAATGTTTTATTTGTATCACCATCATCAAATATAATTGAGTGATTTGAAGACATTAAGGCTTTATATTCTTCTTCATTTGATACTACAATTTGTATTGGTTGATTTATATTTGTAGCTTTTTTCATAATCATTTTAGATTGCTGTATTGTTGCATCTGTGTTATCTAAATTTGCAAATTCTATGGGTACTGTATTAGGCGTAATGCTTGCTTCCATACTTGGTAATTTTGAATGAACGCCATTATCAACTAATTCACTCAATATATATTCTGTATTCTCAGAAGTTTTCTTAGGAATGAGTTGATTTTCTTTCATTATGTATTCTTTACCATCAATAAGAACAATATCTTCTTCATTAGCTTGTGGAGAAGGACTATTTATATCTTGACCATATTCATTTTGAGTATTGGTAACTTTTGGTTTCATAGCTGGTTTAGGGGAAAGAGTACTAAATCCAGGATTGAGAATTTTGTGTTTCATATTTGGTGTAGATAAACGCGATTTTTTTGGAGGACTGTTCATGTCTGATTTTTGCTGTAATTGGTATTGCATATCATTATCTTCATATTCATTGTCCAATGATTGTTCATATTTAATGTTAGTTTTCATCTCATGAGTTATTTTAGGTTTTACTTCAATTTGTCTTTCTTCATCTGAATCTTCTATAACGCCATCTCTTAAAGCCACTTCTCGGTGACTTGTTTTTAGATGTACATAATAGTTACTTTCTCGCAAGAACACTTTCATGCAATAAACACATTGTAGATTAGGTTTTTTATCTTTATGATATTGGTGACCTGTTTTTTGCACATGATTTAGTAACTGTTGAGATGAGCTGAATCCAGCTGAACAAACAACACAACGGATTGTTCTACCATCAGAATGAGTTAATTTGTGCTTGATGAGGAAAGCTTCAGTGAGAGCTATGTAGTCACACACATTACATTTAGGGAAATTATAGTGTGGAGGTGGTGGCACTCCATGTCTGGTATAAATGTGATGAAGTAAGTAATTTCGTTTGGTTGATCTTAGTCCACAGTATTCACAAATACTGGACACTGGTTTTTCATTATGCACTTCGACTAAGTGTCGTCTGAAGTTGTAGTATGTAGAAAAATTAAGAGCTCTACCAGGTGTACCGCAAATAAGACATATCCATGGACCTCTGATATTTGCTGCCCCCATGGCAATCAACTTGGCTGCTTCTTTTGAATCTAAAACATCAGTTTCATATGTATAACCAACTTCAGTTTTAGGTTTTACTTCAATTTTTTCTTCTACAGGCTTCTTTTTTGTCGAGGTGTTTAATATTTTCAGTTTAATATTTTTATTACCCTTGACTAAGTGTGGATATTTCTTTAGAACTTCACTTATAATTTTTGCATGATCCAAGTTACTTGTTTGTTTATCTTTCCCTTCAATTGTGACTTTAGGACCTTCATCTAAAATTTGATCAAATAATTGATTGGAGTCTGTGTTGTTTTCTTCTCTAACACTTAAGTAAGCAGACTGAAACATTTCATCATCTGGGCCAGCATGGGAAGTATCATCTTCAAATAGATTATCATTTTTAGAGATTTTTTTACATTCTACAATATCAACTGTTGTTGATTTCATGCCCTTCTTTGATCCAGAGGCTTCAGTGAAAAAATGTGATCTTTTAGAATATTGTTTACTAGTTTCGGGATGGACCATTAAGGGTGCTGAAGTATAAGATAATTTTGAAAATGAATTTTCAAATATATTATCTGTATCTAATTCTTCTGGCAATTCATATCTTGTTGGTCGAGGATCACCCAATACAAACTTTTTTGAATACAACTCTGTATCTAACGGGATTGGGGATGGTGCACGTGCACCGTTACTATTACTACTGGATCCCGCCGATTTATTTTTTGGTACACTATATTTCTTTTCTCTGTAAATTATTTTGCTACTATTTTGTAATTTGCTTTTAACACTTTCACTAGTCTTATTGTTCACAATTGACTTGTTGCTTTCTGGAGCTTTTTGATAGGATTTGTAATTCTCAAAAGCTTTAGAAAAGGACCTCTTACCAACACTAGGAAGATTATTTGAATATTTTGATGTTTTTATTATATCACTAGACTTTGAACTCCTTTTAATTCCAGTGTAATTTTGTGCGGGAGTAAATTTTACCTGCATGTTTCGGTGAGCCTCAAGAAGTTTAGTCAACACTGGCATGTTCATCACTAAAGATGTTTGGTAAAGCTTCTCAAGGGAATCTATTTTAAATTCTAGTTGACCAGTGTACATAAAGTTGATAATTGGAACCACAACATCTGCTTGTAAGTCATCTGGCATCACCAAACAATCCTCATACATTTCACATGTTCTTTCCAAAAGTTCAAAATATTCAGTACAGGCATTAAGTACCAGTCTGTGGACCTTAAGTTGGGCATTGTCTTGAAATTGAAGAGTCAGATCGCAGTAGTCTGTTCGATTGAAAAAATGCTTCAATCTTTGGAGGAAATATATTCCCCAGTTGTCAACTTTCACTTGCTTTACGTCAGACATCATGAATGCTTCTAAATGTAGTTATTAAATGTTTACGAGCCGCATCTTTACACTGAAACAAATGAAAACAAACTTTTTTAAGTACATACATGGATTTTCGTACATTTATGAATTAAAACATAAAAACAAATCGATCGGCTACTAGTATTTTGTCTAAGCTGACATAGCTGTAGGCTGTGGTTATTGACATTATTTGATTTGGATTTTGAGTTTCCAGTTAAATATTCCGCCACGAGTGTTTTTAATCGGAACTTACCAAAATCATAAAAGTACGTACAAACACTAAATAGTATTCTTAACTTGCTCTTGTCGCACCGCACCACAATATTATTTGATGAAATTCATCTGAAGTTGACACTAAGGGCGCAAGATGGCGGTGTTGCCGTGCTCCATTTTGGCCCGACCGACGCTTGGACTTGCTCGAGGTCGATGGCTTTTGTACGACATACTATTAAATCAAATTAGTATCTCACGGAATGACAATTTTAAATTAAAATTCAATAGTATAAATTTTTGAATGAGTTAAATAAAAATATTGATTAATTCAATCGTATGTAATGTTTTTTTCAGTAAGGGTTATTTTATCAATAAATAATATTGAAATGGCTTCGATTTCTATGTACAGTGCTGACATCTACTACAATGTAGTAAAATGAACTTATTGATTTATAAGTACAATTTTGGTGGAACACTAACTACTGTTGCTTTGCTTGAGTCAAACAAAGATTTATTCGTAAATTTTTTTTTATAGTTACTATAGAACAATAGATGACTCTGTTAAACATACACAATGAATTTGAATTTCCTAACGTGAGTTTTCTTTATAATAATGAAGACAAACGACAATTTTTGAATCTCTAAAAGTATTTCGACCAAGGTTACCATTCGTCCGGATTTAGCTGTACATGTCCGAACTTTATCATACTTTTGCCTGGCATTTTTTTTATAATTAATAATCTATTTACAATGAAATAATGATGTCCTCTGCTAGAGAAGCACGGTAGTGGGAAGTCCTTAGTAAAATTTCGCTGCAAAATACTGCAAATGCTCCGAGGATATCATAAACCCTAGGCTCAATTTATACTGCCGCGAAAGGGAGGAAGTGTCAATTTATCCTTGTTGTGCGACTCGAGAAAGCGCGTGAATGAGGAAGTTAACGGAAAGTTCATTTATTACAGATAGCGCTTTAGCCCAACGATAATAAATACACCACGTGCGCATAAATTGTGTCCCAATCAAGAAGTGCTTGAACTCCATTCAAGCATTTCTTGGTTTACAGTTACGCGCGTACCCGTTCAAATGTCAAGATGCCGCAGAGCTTCGTGAAAAAATGCGAAAAAAATACTTATAGTACGTAAAGTGTCGTTTTTTCTAAAGGTATCTAATCGATGTTTGTTATTTTAATTCATTTGAAATTTTGTTCTAATAACTTACTATCAATTGATTTAAAAGAAAATATTTGTGATATTCAAATGCATGGTCGGTTATATAGCCATCTCTTTTCCTCGCGGTCCGTACCTGCTATATTGCTAACAGCACGTTCAGAATTGGGCGTAGAGTCAAAGAAATAAGGTCTATATTCTTCCGCATATAGCAATAAGTCGTAAAATTTTACGAGCTTGCATTTTGAACTGTTAGAAGTCCTTGGCGCATGCGTTTTATTTAAGACATTACACAGTATATATTAAAGGTTACTTTCAATATTTAAATAATGCCTTATATTGATTTTGACTACGCGATCGTCTTACGGAGCTCCGTGGATCGTTCAATGTACCTTTTGGACAGGTTTCGGGCACGATTTTGTTCGTGTTGGTGTATCTAGGGTATTTAATACCGTTGGGCCACTTAAGATTTTTTGGGAAACCCCAAAAACCCCTGCACGGACCGCGAGAAAAAGAGACGGCTTATGGCGACGTATAACTGACCATGCATTTGAATATAACAAATATTTTATATTAAATCAGTTTATAGTAAGTATTAGATCAAAATTTGCTTCAAATGCGGTTAATTAACAAACATTGACTAGACACCTGTCGAAAAAACGACACTTTTCGTACTCTAAGTATTATTTTCGAATTTTTTCGCGGAGCTCTGTGGCATCTTGACTTTGCAACGCAACGGTCCGCGCGTGACTATGAACCAAGAAGTGCTTGAGTGGAGTTCAAGCACGCTCGTGGTGTATCTAGGGTATTTAATATCGTTGTAAGTGGCCTCTCAAACTCTCAATACACACAAAATATATTACACCGAAATGCCCTATAATAGAGTTTATTATTGTTTGATGAAGAATCACTTTGGGTTGTTTGGCAAATCTACTGTACTTACTGAGATATATTAGTCTATCAGTTATCGCTTCGTTTGTACATAGTGTTGTTATGCAAAGAAATTTAAAATTTGCATTTGGGGGCTTTTTTCAAAATGTCAAAAAAGGTATCGTGAATAGTACTAATATGTAGACAATTTCAAAATTTATAAAACAGCAAAATTATCAAACTTCTGATACGGAATGGCGTTTGCTTCGGAATAGAAAGAAATTGCGTCGTTTAGTGGCACCACACCACTGAAAAGTTATAGGCAACTATTAGCTTGAAATGCGGTGATGGTTCATAAATGGTGGAAAATATTTCTTCGTTTGTTTTTAATATTCTGAGTATACTACACTCATCCGCATACGTGGAACGAATATAATCGTCAATCATTTCATTGAAAACTAAGCAGCGCAAGAATATTCCCAAAAAATTTTTAGCAAGTAAGAAGTGGTGGGAAAATTAATATTTACACATCACTTTACCTTGTTTTGTTTTTAATAATTTATTTTGATTAGTAGCATAAATACTGTTGTTTTATTTTTCCAAAAAATCTCCCGATTTCTCCCGATTAATACAAGGAAAATTACCCGATTTTTTAATTTTCACTTTTGCAACACTGCGCGGCAGTATAAATTGAGCCCAGGGTTTATGATATCCTCGGAGCATTTGCAGTATTATTGCCGTGTAATTTTATCATGGACACTTTATTGACAATGACAATTCCCACCACCATGCTTTTCTAGCAGAGGATATGACACTTAATTTTTTGCTGTGGCCAATAACTGTATCATCTCATTGCCAATAACTGCAATATTATGGCCAATAACTAAAATTTTTTGTTATGTTTATGTTAATTTTATTCTCCAAATATTTAATAAAAGTGCATGTAAAGTACCTTAAATAATAAATACATTATTATAAAACCAGACGGCATATTTATTTTTTCTCTAAGGAATAATTTTACTTCAAATTAAAATTTTCAATTTTAAGTCCGCTTAACTATATGTCTAATTACTATACCCCTATAATGCCATTGTTTTTGACAACGCGATCATCGTACGGAGCTCCGTGGACCGTCCAATGTACCTTTTTGACAGGTTTCGGCCACGATTTTGTTCGTGTTGGTGAATCTAGGGTATTTAATATAGTTGCTTTGGCCATGTGACTTAAGCAAACTGTCACTTTGTGTCAGTCGATTTGGTTCGAGATTAACAATAAAAGTATAGTAATTGGTCTGGAAATCCAAGAAGGACGCCAAAGGATTGCAAAGAGGACCTGTAGTCGGGGCTAGGCTTGCAACGATATATCGAAAAATAGATATAACAAGCTGAGGTACCTATTTTATGTTATGTGGTCTATTGTTATTAGGACAGCTACAGATATCGCCCCTTGTCCTACAGTTTCATCCGTGTGATGATCAACTCAAAGAAAGAATCCAATTGTGATCAAGTCTGGGAGCAAAAGTAATGTATTTAGTTTTTGGGTATTACGGGTAAGCCAATTTGAATTTAGCCACTTCAGAACTATGTTCCGAGCAGATTCTGCGCATGAAAGCGCTTCCATCCAGCTAGTTACATGAAATATTTACTAATACCAGTATCGTTCGCATAGCTGATAATTTTGGAGTTATTTAACGACATTTTACATAGATTATTAATGTGCACCAAAAACAGTGTAGACCCGAAGACAATACCCTGTCAAACGCCGGAAGAGATACCTCTTTACTAATAAAGTTATCCATCTTGACAACTTGAAATAAAGATTCTGCGGAAGATCCTGGGCCCGACTCAAAAACAGGACGGCAGCTGGAGAATGCGGACGAACATCGAGCTGGAAAATCTAGTGTCCGAGCGTAACATCATAGGAGAAATACTCGAGCGCGTCAGATTAAGGTATGGTGGTTTAATTACACGCTGAAAAGTGTGTATTTCAATAGTCTGACGATTTGAGCGTGACGTAAGGGAGTGGGAGGGTTGCAAAGAGGCAAAAAAAACGATGTCTGGACATTCTCGAGCGCGGTTGAATTTTTTTAATTTAAAGGTAGGTAGTAATTCAAGGATTATGGAAACATAGAATCTGCCGATTAGGACAAGCCGAAGTAACAAAAATCGCTAATAAAGCGGCGTGCAGCTGCAGCGAAGCATGTATTTCATACTAAGCGCCTCTCTCTATTTCGCTTTTCTCTATCTTCCATTCTCTTGCACCGTCCCCACATCACTTTCTGTCTACCATTACGCTTTCACAGCTGATCATGATCATAACGCTCGTGAACCTCGTGGTATTATATGTACAACGTTCTGATTTGTTTGTTTTATTTGAAATTTTGTGAGTTTGATATTTATTATCACGAAGATTAGTGACAATATTATAAAGTGTGTGTTTTGTGGACAAAATACATGTCAAAAGATTGTATTTACATCGGTACAATAGGCTAGTTGACACTTTTTGGAGATATGTTTTAAATGGTTAATAATTGTTCAATTAGACCGAAAAAAAATGTATTGTATTTTTTTTTATATCTAGAAAGCTACAAAACTTTAATTTTAAAATAGATTTTTCATGGACATACAAAAACGCTATCGGCTATTTTAGTCTATAGATTATCTATGGTATGACGGGAACAATAGTAAACAAACACTCGCAAGCACGTAGGATCTGAATTTACATCACAAAACCATGATTCTAATAGATTTCATGATAAATATAGTAATTATCATGATTGTATTATACGAGAATAAAGAAACACATCGTTAAAAACTGCAGAAATGTTTTAGTTTCAATTTTTAAGGTTATGAATGTACCTGCTAAGTCAAAGAGTTTTGTCGTTTCTGCTTTCACAAATCCGGCGTCCAGCATTAATTTAGTTAAGAAAACCAATAAACGGAAACTTTTCTTCAAGATATTTTAATCGGACGAAAGAAACCACAGTAACACGACAATGACGTTTAGTTGTTTTGCTATTATGTTGACGTCACAATCATGGTGGACAGCGTTTTTAGTGTTTAAAAAGCATAGACTAAAAAACTATTTTTCAAATGAAATTACTACAGACATCTTCTAATTTTATGAAGTGAAATCGATGTATTTAGGTTCCTCATACCAAAAATTATAAGAAATAAACATTTGTATAGTGCAATTTGACATGAGTCAACTAGCCTATTGTAAAGCTTACCAGAGACTGAAATGTAACACTTTTTTTATTTGTATTTTATTACATTTATCTTTTTTTTTAAATATCGAACATGTCTGTGAATAC